TTAGTCAATGATCCTAATTTTAAGGAATATGAGATAAAGCTTTAATTTTAAAGCCACTTTCCATAGAATGTTCTGTTTTGTTATTTGATAAAGTTGTAGTATGAATTTCCTTTAGTTTTTTAAATCATTTGTTATTTGTTTTGGTACCTTTCTATGCTTAAACATTTAGTATTGTATATGATGCAGATTGTAAAATTCCTTTGCTGTATTGTTTCAATTTGTTTGCATGTAAACTTATTGCATAGATTTTGTAATAATTTTTATGTTCAATCACAGTCATTATAATTACTATTTTACCCGAAAACACAACAATTGATTTTTCAATAATATGTTAATGTGTATTAATCATATAGTATTATCACATTTAATATTTCTCTTATAAATTATATTAATGTCAGTAATTTACTCACTCAAGTCTGTTCGTTTAATCAGATATTTATCATGCCTTAAAACGAAATTGAACTCAATGATGGATATCCCAGATAATTACTGTAGGTTTCCTATTCCAAACATTGATACAGCTGTTTCATTAGTCAAGAGCTTGTGGTCAGTATTCGTACGATGATGAAGAGTAAACATCAACAATGCTTATCGTATTGTTCCTATACACCCAGATGATTTTGATACTTCTTGGATTCAAATAAATGATAGATATTATTACTTTACCTATGGGTCTGAGCTATTCTTAGCGCATTGTTTGACAGGATCAGTTCTGATATTCAGTGAATTGCAGAAAACAAACTTAGGTTTTATATAATTGTGCACACATTCTAGATGATTTCTTGTTTGTTGGGGACAATTAACAAACTGTGTAAAAAAGGTTAAAAATTTTCATTGCTGGTGCTGCTTTGGTTGGTTTACCATTAATCATGCTAAAAACTTGTCGGCCATGCAGAATCATGTCTTTTGTTGGAATTGAATTGGCCTCGGGTACTAATGGAGAAAATATTGCCCCAAAGAAAATTTAATAAGATTCGCCTAGGCTCTTGACAAATTCAAAGCATCGGGAAAAAGCAACTCTCCTTGAACTACAGTCTGTTATTGGTTTGCTTAATTTTGCTTGTGCTGTTATTGTTCCAGGCAGGGGCATTTTTTTACGTCTAACTATTGGTTTAAAGAAATCTCACCATCATAGACAGTTATCAAAAGATGCAGAGCAAGATTTTCTGGCAAATGGTACAATCGTTCATGTTTCAATTTAATGGCAAGTCGATGTTTGCTACCTGACCATTGAGTCACTTACTGTGTCATTAGATCTTTTTCACAGATTCTAGTAATGTCAGATTTGGAGGGTACCTGTCAAACAAATGTTTACAGCCAATTTGGCTAATGAATCGTTGAAATATCACATAACTGTTAAAAGAAACTATTTTCATATTGTTTAAGCTTGAAAGGCCCGTTGTTAGTTTTTCACATTTACTGCTGTCTATAGCACATTAGCTACAATGGGACTTGCCGTTGTGTGCTAAAGAATAAGACTGAAGGGAAACATTGCGAGCCTGCCTCCCACTGCAGGGCAACAAGGTTTTTTCAGAAGAAAAGATTTGAACTTTTACAAGGGCATTATGGTCATTCTTGTGCATTTAAAAAGATATATAAGAATTCCTATGTTACAAGTGTAATTAATGGCAAAGGGATAGCAGTCTCTAACAAATGCATAATAGATTTTTACATGCATGAATTGTAAGCAACATTCACAAGATTTGTAAAAACAATTTGTTAACTTTGTTGTCATAAGGACAAGGGCCTTTGACATATAGCCATAGTCATTCTGCTTTGATTACATTTTCTTTCAAATTAATATGATCTCAATGTACAACTTTGCACAAAATAATGCAAATAATTTGTAAAACATGTGTTTTTCTCTAGCATTACAACAGTCCACTAAATTAAGTTATGTCATGGGAACAGGGACCTCTGACAGTAAGGTGTTTAAAACAAATATATATTTGTTAAACCATTGTGCCACTTTGAAGTACCTGGAGTTTGCTATTTAACACTTTTTCTTTTCAATCTTTAATATCTTTGCATCCGAATGCACATAATCCTTTTTTATGTATTTTTCAAGGAATGGCGGCAATTATTACAATCACAACATCACTTTCTGTCATGGGGACACGGGCCTCTGACAAAAACTTGTTTTCAAACACAGACACTCACTTGTAAGATTTGTGCAATAATATGTTATATGTTCATATTACGATATTAGAATTTGTATATCTCTTGTTATGTACATAATGTTCAATTTTAAATTCATGATTATTCTTTGTGTTAAGGTAAATTTAAAACTTCATGTCTTTGGTTAAGATGCCAGCATGGTTATATTTTAATTTGTATCAATTTAAGATCTACTTGGATATTACACATATGGTTGATATCAGTATACACCTTTACTCTAAAAAAGGTAATCTAAATAAAGACAACATTTATTTCAGTCACAAGTTTACTTTATGTCATGGGGACAAGAGGCCTCTGACATACAAGGTGCCTTCTAACACATACAGTCAATTAAATCCGTAGTGCCAATAAAAATGTTGTCTTATATTAGGTAGTTTAGTTATTCATCTTGTGATGTACATATTTTTAATATTCTTGTTTATTTCATTAGCATTGTTTCAAACATTTAAAGAATAATTTTGTTTGTCCCCTTTTACATGACTAGTCAACTTCATTAAAGAAGTTTTGGTTGGGGGAATTGTGTTTTTACACAATTTGTGGCAATATTCTTAGAACCCAACCTTTGATAATTTTTCGGGATATGTGTGTATATATATTTTATATACATTTTTCAGAAATGTTTGCTTGCTTTGTATACAATTTTATGTTATATTATAACTTTCATATCAGCATTGTTTTATATGTTTATATGTCATTTATTATTAAATGGCCATTTCACAATTTTATGTTAGTTTGATAACTTTCATATCAACATTGTATTATATGTTTTTCCGTCATTTATTATTAAATGGCCATTTCAATTTCAAAGTGTAGTTGTTATTCTTGAAAATTATCAAACAGAGAAAAACTTCTTCAGGCAAAGATACAACAAATTGAAATGTTGACATAAAACTTAATTTATTGCAAAATAAATGTTTTTATGGTCACTTACAAGCTTTGATGGTGGGTTTCATTAGGTCTTTAGTCATAGGTCGAAATATATTTGGGTTCGAAAAAGCCGTACTAGTAAGTACTCTAAGGTTATCGTTATGAGTAAGTACAATGTGATAATTGATGCTGATTAAGTCCGCCATTTTAGAAGAAGAAATAATTCATAACAATTTTCAATACCCACCATCCACCCACATTCAGTATTCAATTTTTGACAAGCTTATACACATCAAAATGTTTTGTGTTTGTTTATAATTTTATATACAAATGATTTTTTCTTTTCACTTCAAGATATGTGTGATATATTAATTTCATACACAGTTTTAGGCAAGGCAATATTCTTTAGAACCCACCTTTGATAATTTTTCGGGATATGTGTGTATATAATTTTATATACATTTTTCAGAAATGTTTGCTTGCTTTGTATACAATTTTATGTTATATTATAACTTTCATATCAGCATTGTTTTATATGTTTATATGTCATTTATTATTAAATGGCCATTTCACAATTTTATGTTAGTTTGATAACTTTCATATCAACATTGTATTATATGTTTTTCCGTCATTTATTATTAAATGGCCATTTCAATTTCAAAGTGTAGGTATTTTTTTATAGTTTACATCGATAAATAATAATAAACATTTCGTAATTTTACTGTTTTAATGTGAAAACTTTGGTGACCTTAATATATTGTGCCAAGAAATTATTGATACAAACATGTACAATTTAATTAAAACGGACAATTATAATTCAGTAATGTAAACAGTATTTTCCCTGTAATATTTTTATATGAAGTCATGTAAACATGACATTACAGGATTATGGATCAGCGGTGTAATCATTAACATTAAATAAGAAAAATTTAAACAAACATGGTTATACCAGGCATTACAGTATGTACGCCAAAATTATACGATGAAAAAACTGAATAATATAGTCAATCCGGTCATAAGTTTATTCGGTCCAAAATATGCTCAATCTGGTCCAAAATTGCTAAATGCAGCCCTACAACTATAATCCTTTTCTGTCAAACTAACCTCAAAGATGGTAAATTCGATCCCAGCCTCACAAATTGGCACTATCTTTTTTTTTTAATTTTTTGCTATTGTTTGTGATATTAGTGAATCAAACTTTTCCCCCTACAAATATATATACACGTATCTTTAATGTCAAATAAACTATTTTTTCTGTTCTATAAATTTTTAATTTTAGAAATTACTGTCATATTGATCAGCGCTGCTTCTTCTAACTTTTGGGTATACATGTTCCTTGTCTCAAATTTTGTGTTTGAATAAGCTTTATAAACTTTAAAACATTGAAAACACTTCATCGAGTCTCCTGTCCTTAACTTAATATATTTCATAAACAAAAGGATTTATAAAGAATATGTTCTTATAAAGAATAATGCTAAACTACATGTATTGCTGACAATAGCTTGTGGTTTCTTATTTCATCGTGGTGTTTTGGATTTGGAATATCTGATTTCTGAAAATCCGTATTACAGAACTTAAAAAGAAAGAAAATAAATAGTGCCGGATTAACTAGGGACCGGATCAACTATTTTTGGGTTGGGTTAACTAGGGACCGGATCGACTAATTTTGGGCCGGGTTAATTTTGGGCTGGTTTGACTTTCCCAAAAGACTTAAAATACAAGTTAAAAATAAGAAGCATTTTCCTTAAAGTGCATTTAAAGCTATACATTTGCTGCCAAAATTATTGTTTAAATTTATTAATAAAGAATACTTACAAAATACTTGTATAAGTAAACAATCTTATGGCGCATGACGTATCATTGCTAAACGGATAAAAGCAGAACAATATTTTGTTCCGAAACATTTATTCTGTTGAAACGTTCTACAGTAAATCACAACTCTTTCATTATTTCAGAATTCTTTTAGAGACATCGCTATTGTCATTATCATGGCCAGAGAGTAGGAGTTGTACTGGATTTGTTATCATATGAGAGAAATACAAAATGGACGACGACAAAGAAATTGAGACGAAACTAAGGCAATATCCATCGAGCTTTGACCTTTATGAAGAAATTCAGTCAATGTCCAAAGATTGTGTTGAGAAACATTTGGAGAGATTAGTTAAAGAGGTTGAATCCAATCCATACGATAACACCATGGAAAAGCTTCGGGCTTGGAATTTCATCTCGTTTCTAAGTTTCATTTTAGGCAATGAAAAAGATGCGTTTGAGTATAACTCAAAAGTGTTAGAGCGAAGCAAAGACAATATCATGGGTTTATGTAATAAGGCATTGTTTTTGTTAAAAATGCAAGAGAAATACCATGTTGTCCACGACTTATGTAAACAGTTAAATGAGAGTAGAAAACATAAGGGCAATATGTTGTTTGCAAAGGCAGAAAAGGCATTTCATTATTTATGTTTAGGCACAAAACGAAATGAAAAATCTCGACACTTATTTAAAGAAGTCCTTGATGAAGTTCATGAGCTGAATATAGACGGCGCTTGTGAGACAGATGATTCTGAAGATATTCTACTCCAAACAGACAATTACTGCGTCTTGAACTTTAGTTACGCCCTTACATACAAACGAGCGTTAAACTTAAGTAATTGTCATGACGTATCTTCATTTGATGTGTCCTCACAGCTAGATATGATAAAGAAGGCTTGTAATATTTATGGTCGTATCATCCATATCGAAGGAGACAGTACATGTCTGAAATATTACAAGGGAAGATCATACGTTGAATTAGGGTCAATTGACTTTGATATTAGGAAAAATAAGTCTACATTTCAAAATGTAAATTCCATAAAGGATGTCTTACCGGATCGAGAAGATCTTTGGTTGAGTACCAACGAATTTTATGAAAAAGCAGAATGTTTTTGTCCAAATGATGTGTTTGTGTTAGAAAGATGTGGTAAATATTTTCGATACGTAAATGTTATTGACAAATCAATCTCTCTTCTCGAAAGAGCTATAGCAATACGAGGAACTTCTTTTTCCCATCATCATCTTGCACTTTCCCTAAAACGACAAGTGGAAAGTCATTTTCGACAACCTAAGTCGGAAAAATATCTTACACTGAATGTACCAGATAACACTGATGCATGTGGCATGCTTAAACATACATCTTTGGACGAAACAGTATCACTTGCCTCTAATATGTCAATAGATGATTATGATAAAGAAATACATATGAAACCAAAACAAGAAAACGCTTCAGCCAACTCTGATGATGGAAATCTTTCATTGAGAGGACGCCATAGTGAAAATCAACATGACTTGGGAAATAGGGTTAATTTTCCGTTTAAAAAAGAAACCATAAGAGGACCTTCTATTGAAAATTTTCGTGGCTTTGGAAGTAGAGGTGATGTCTTATTGAAAGGCGAAGCCATGAGAGGACCTCATACAGAACATCAATTACGCTGGGGAAACAGAGGTATTGCTCCATTTAAAGGAGAATTCATGAGAACACGTCATAGTAAAAATCATCAGGGCTGGGGAAGTAGGGGTACTGTTCCGTTTAAAAGAGAAACCATAAGAGGACCTTCTATTGAAAATTTTCGTGGCTTGGGAAGTAGAGGTGATGTCTTATTGAAAGGCGAAGCCATGAGAGGACCTCATACAGAACATCAATTACGCTGGGGAAACAGAGGTATTGCTCCATTTAAAGGAGAATTCATGAGAACACGTCATAGTAAAAATCATCAGGGCTGGGGAAGTAGGGGTACTGTTCCGTTTAAAAGAGAAACCATAAGAGGACGTCCTACTGATAATTTACGTTGCTGGGGAAACAGAGGTAATGCTCCATTTAAAGGAGAAATCATGAGAACACGCCATAGTGAAAATCATCAGGGCTGGGGAAGTATCAATCGTAACAAGGCACATTTCGGAATCAAATGTCCAGTCAAACCAAAGCTAATTAACAAGGAAAAACACATAGACACCATCAAACAAATAATTTTTCATTTTGACAAATCGTTTGAATTGTCAAGTAACTATGGAGCTATTTATGACAAAGGTTTACTTTACAGACAAATTGAAGAACATGATAATGCTTTGGCTACATTCAAGATTCTCATTAGAGACAAAGGTGGACATTGTTCGCTTGTACAATTATCAAATGCGTATGAGCAAGCAGGCCTTTGTCTTAATGGCATGTTGTGGCAGTCAGAAGAAAAAGGTGAGCTTGACATGAAAACGTATTTTAAGAAGTCGATAGAAATCTCCTGTTCGATTGTTTCGAAACTCCCGTTTCTTCAAAATTGTTGGGTGTCAGCTCCAACGTTAAAAGAGTTTCTATCCGGAAAAGCAAAAACCACTGAACATCTTAAAGACTTAGTCTACCTGTCAGAGAAGTTTGAAAATTATGGCGAAGCGATAAAATTTCTTAAAGACAGGAAAGAACTGACTGTAGATGAAAATGAAAGGGCTAAATTAGAGATACAGCTTGTTGAAAACTACTTAAGTAATGGAAATTATGAAGACGCTGTATTTGCCTTAGGTGCGATGGTTTGTCTACCAAATGGGTATGAACTTATCGATGAAAAAATGTATTTGCAGGCTTACATTGAAGGGGGGGTCGTTGCGTTGAAACAAGAATCATTTAAAGTGGCAGGCCTTCGATTGAGAAATGCTCTTGATTTCTATAGACATAATCAAAATGTTCATAACAGGAGAGGTCATAACAATACTGATATAGAAGATGAAAACTTCGATGTATTCATTCTTTGCAATGAGGACTTGGAGGAGAAAAGCATGAGCTTAGTGCATATTTTAACCGCTTTTAAGCTCAGAGTAACGATTAACTTTCAGGAATTGTTACCAGGAACATCAAAAATGTCCGGAATATATCAACAGTTTCGACATTCGCACCACTTTCTACTGGTTATTGATGAAAAACAATTAGAAAATATAAACAAACATTACTTTGAGCAGATAGAAGAAGTCATTTTGGAAAGAAATTATGGTCATATAGTGATTATTAAGACCAGTAAAGATGCAAAGGTACCTTCCAACCTTTCAAAATATCCAAGCATGGAAATGAACATTGAGGCTGACGAGATTCCTGAAAACTGTTACGAAAACGAGAGTCTATGCGAAACGATTAAAGCACTCCTGCTAAAGTTAGCAAGCAGCAAGCAAAGAGCATAAGTCAAACAATCATCAAAATCTAGAAAAAATGTTTAAATGATTTTTTCATGGATTTGGCAAATTAGATTCACAGAGTTTTAAATCATGTAATATTTTGTTTGTCAAGTCTTCCTAACGAGCAACAAGCAAACAGCAAAAGTAAAAAAATATAATTATTTGAAACAATGGTTTAATTAAGTGAACTTTTAAATAATGTGGAAAATTAAATTCACAGTTTTGAACTTGATAATGTTTGGTGTGCCATGTCTTCTTAAAATGTCAAAGAAGACGTAAGGTTCTATTTCAGAATTTTAGAACTTTTCTTGAATGAGGCAGTATTCCTCTGATTCCTTTTAATTATTTAAATTTACTTAGTTTTGTAAAAGGTTTTATAATGCGTAATTTGTTGTATACCATCATTTTCCATAATGTTAAAAGAGACATAGACTACTCAGTCTGCCGTTTAATTATATCATACAATGTCACCACCATTACAGTTATCTTTCGCATGTAATTTCCTTCGTTAATGACATGACTTTGTTATTGATTTTAGAAGGCATTTTGGCTGAATGAACATTGATTTCAAATGTTAAGTACCAGGTATGCTAAAGTTTTGGTCAGTATGAGAGCATGATATAAGATAACGACTCAATAAATGCATTATATATTCAACGTTCAGTTAGATAACATTTAATCTATATAGATAGGTCATTATCTTTGTAAATTTGCATTGTAGATATTAAATTATTAATTATGTATGCATGTAGATATATATATTTTAGTTAAACTTAGTTCATTAGATTTTAGAGTTCACAAATTTTGAATTGTGAAGGTAAAGATACAAATGTAAGTCTGTTCTATCTGTTCTAAAGCGTGTTGTTAATATTTTTTGTTTGTTCCTGAACCAAATGTTGAACATTTTCGTTTCACTAACTGTTGATTGTCTGATGGCAATGCTGTAGATGAGTCGATATATTTTAAAAATGTCAAACTTGAGAAAAATGCTCGTAGATCCTATATAACGAATGTGAGAAATACAAAGTACATGTATATGTATTCACAACTGATGTTACGTATGTCACGTCTTATGAAAAAATATGGCTGTACACTATTTTTATTAGCATACAGGTATTTCTTCCCGATGCGTATTTTACAAATTATACATTTTTGTTATCCCACCACAAACAACGACAACGTATGTCCCCATGTACGAGTATGTCCCGATATCGGTCACATACGTTGTGATAGATTATGCCATACACATTATTGAAGTAACTACAGTAACAATGCTACAAGATACCAATCGCATAAGCTCCGATAACGGTAGCCAATTAATGTTTTTACTTTGTGTCCATGTACAGAAGCTCTCTAATAACAAGTTCTTTTTCAGCAACCAAACTTAAGAAAATTTCAGCCATGACGAAATATTTGTACTGTTTCGTCTTTCTGAGAATATATCAATTATACGGCAGCAAAAGACTTCGGTTATCACATATAAGTGGTGGGAGGAAGAGGTTTTAAAATATTCTGTTCTACATAAAAGTTTAATTGTGTCCCGTACCTTCTTTAACGCTGGAAAAACTGAAAAGGCCGGGAGCATGTATGTAGTTAATGCTTTATGAGGGTCCATCCGCCCGTAAGGGCACAAAATTTAGCTTTGCAGGACCACACCCCTCGGCTTTAGTCAGGACATCGGCAGTTGGTCCGCAGCATAAGTTCCGATCTTTTTTCGCCGTCCCCAGTCTTCAAATCTTCTGCCGATGCCCTGTGTCTTACGTACAGTGGGGAAGAGAAAAGAGGCCAAGAGGGTGGTCTGCAACTTCTTATATACGCGGCTTAATATAGCTCGCAGAGTGGTAAACTAATTGATGCAGATGTATAGTGTTTATTACACATCCTTTGGAATAAACTTTCAGCGATTCCACCAATTCATGTAGAACCAATCTTACCAATATAGCTTCGTTCGAAATCTGTTTATATCAAATGCATATCGTTCCCCATACAGCTTCATTTTAATTTTCAGAGTGAAAAGAAAACAACATATCAAATCCTTATATTGTTGAGAACGATACTTATTCTATTGAACTCGTATACAGCTGCAAAACCTTTATAAGATTCGGCTAGTGCGTACTTCGATATAGGTTTGATAGCTGTACATAAACTCGTCCAGTAGAATTGTATTGAATTATACTCTACAACATATAATTATAGGTACATGACTTTGAAAAAGATATCATATGTTAAGAATAGTAATTGTTGAATGAAATGACAAAAAAAACTAAAATAATTTTTTATTAAATGTTTATTCAATTTTTTCACAGTTGTGTTGTAATAAAAATAAAATGCATAGCTGAATAAAATGTTGTATTTATTTCAGTCATAACCGTTACAGACTTTTCATTTCCATAACATTAAATCATTCCCGCAACATGCATTTTTTCCTCTTTTAAATATATCAAAGAGGTATAAATGGTACATATGATGAAGGTATATTTCATTGGTTTGTGTTACTTACCCATTTACTGAAATAGTAGAAAGTAAAAGAGACCATTCTTTCCAATATTTTAACATTACAACACTGTTTATAAAAGATATTGTATTAATATTGTCAAGGTTTATAAAAACTGATTTTCAGACATTTTATTTTTGGTATATCTATCAAAAGCTATTTCTTGTAATGTGTTTAGCAATTAACTGTTGCTTGAAACGAAATAATTATATTGCAATTAATTATAAAAAATAAAGGCGTTTTCAAATCACTGTCGTAATGACAAATCTTGTTACCTTTAAATATTTCTTGAGCAAAATCATCAAACATTAACTCAGCTACAGACTGTCAGTTTGTTTCAAGAGAGTTGCTAGTTAGTCTTAATATAGACCATAAAACAAAAACTGCATATTTTTTTCAAACTCCCCGCAGCGGTTACTTCCCCTGATCAGCAAAGCGTGAGGAGTTTGATTTGTTTTAAGGTTTTGGAAAGTCTTACATGCCCAAATATGGTAGAAATGAGTAGAAACTGATCCATCAGAGCAGAAATATGAAACAGACCGTAGCGGAGATACTTTGAGCACTATTTCATTCTTTCTTTTTTTTGTAGAACGCGGAAAATAAACGTATACAAATTGTGTACAAAATATACAAAATATAATAAATATATGTTGGTTTTCTCATGGGGCGGCCCATATATCATTACCGACCCTGCACCAGGTCTACAGGAATAGTCAAGATGCATCACATGTGCCTTTGTGTAAAACTTATGGGCACTCTAAATGTAAATTGAAAATTAACAAAATCAAGGACATCCTCACTTTTCTAAACAAATTATGATGACCTACCAAATAATCATATTGCTGACATCAATTTCATGTCGTATATCATACATTTGTATTATAAGGCTAATGATAACCAAAACAATAACTAACTCCACGTTTGTTTACAAGTACGTTTTGTAGTTGGTTTACACTTTTGGAATAGACAATTTTGATAAAGGAAATTCATGCTGAACACAATCATATAGACCCAGTGTCAGAAGAATAAAGACGACATAGACTCGGTGCATCCTCTGCTGGGCAAAAATTGTAATTATTCATTTCCCACCTTCTTTTGATTTACAGTAAGCAATAACTTACTAAAATATACAAGAACTACAGTCTACAGTCAAGATGGAAACCATCTACTTTATTGCTAAAAGTTAAACAACGAATTACTATCATCATACAGATCAACTTTTTGTTACAGTCTTTAAGCTATTTTGAAAGCATTTGCCTTAAATAAAGACATCCTTGGGCGAATTTAACTTTCTAAAATTGTATGGTTGGTATTTTAAAGTGACATTTTGCCCATCCAATATTATATATTAATTGAACAGGTGGAAGTCAAAAATGTTTTCATTTTTGGAATTTGTCCTTTTAATTTTGTACACGATAAATGACTCACGTGTCCCAATGAAAGATCGGATTTTACCTGTAATGTGCAATGTTATAAAAGAGTGGGACAGTTTTTTATATTTTAAGCATATACATGTATATATTTTATCCTAAACAACTTGCAATATCAACCGTTGGTCAATCTAAAAAGCTTCTAGCTTTCTACTCAATCCTTTTTGCATTTTATTGTAATATATTGTGTATATATATTTGATTGGTTAAACCATACACCGTTAAAACAGTCAATCTATTATAATATACATGTACAATTCAGCTCAACTTGACAATGGAAATATTAGCATATATCAAAGATAATTACGTGCGTTCTGCGTTCTATTATGACTAGTGTTGCGATTTCTAAATAATACTACTAAATAATACTTACTATAACCCTTATTGATAGCAATGGACCATATTAATGAAACGACACAGGAAAACTTACTTACTATACGTGTTATCTAAATATATCTAATTTTTACTATTTTTCACTTGTAACCATAGAAAAAGAAAGTTCATAAAATATCCGAAGATCATATTTAAACAATTACTATATTTTGAAAGAGTCTCATTATATTTTAACATTCAAACCCACTAAAATAGTTAGATAAATGTCAATTTGATTTAACAGGAAGTAGACGGCGGCCATCTTGGGCGCCATCTTGGATAAAAATGTTGTGACACCGGTTAGGACAGTGCAACATGCAGTTTCACAAACTACAGTTCCTAACGTTTAATTTGATAAATAGAAACCTTTGTTAACTAACATAGACCGGATGCCAGGCCAAGTTTTCAGCTTTGTATTATGAACCTCATATAAATTAAATACGGATTTTCTCTAACAGCATAATACAATAGGGAATTCCTCTTTTATCATAACAGAATATGGACTTCTTCCTACGTCACAGAAGAATACGAAATCATAACACTTAGAAAAGATTGATCAACAGAAAAAGGTAAGACGTTAACGTATTCACAATCGTGAACTATTTATAAGGTTCTAGAAATATCAATACATGTTGAAATTGATTGAATGGGAACAATTGAAGCTTTTATTTTGTTGTATGGTGTAGCTAATTATAAAAACAATTGCTCATAAGATCAAGTCTTCAGTCTACGAGAAGGCTACAGCACAATAAAATATATCATTGAACAAACAACCTCTTCAATCGAAGGATTCTTCAACTGAAAGGTATTATCTATAACTCCATATCTTACCACCAACTTCCTAGACTATCTAGACATCTTTTGGTTGCTCGAGCATTTTAGGCTACCTTGAATTTTCTCTGTTACCACGAGCTTTTTGTGTCATATTGAGCTTTCTATGCAACCTCGAGCATTCTATGTTACCACGAGTTTTCTAGGTTACCACATAAGCTTCCTAAGTAACCTCCAGTTTTTTAAGTTACCTCTAGCTTCATATGTTACCTCAATCTTCAGAGATACCTCAATCTTTATAGGTTATCTCGAGCTTTCTAGGTTACCTCGAATTTTCTGTAACCTCATTCTTTCTAGGTTACCTCAATATTTCTATGTTACTTCGGGCTGCCAAGGTTACCCCGAGCGCCAGTAAAATGGATGTAGATCAACACACAAGAGTATAATCAAATACGTGATTTAATATGAACAAATGGCGTAGTACAGATTAAGGGAGAGAAATACATCATTTAGTCCGAAACAGGCAAAGTTCCGAATGTATGTAAATACACAGTCTGGCGCTACCACTTTCCTTTACCTCCAAAATGTAAAACCATCATAGGGTAGACTGCCCTCCGGTTTTAAGGGGATTATTATGCCCCTGCACTTAAGTGAATCTAGGTTTGATTAATACTACAACAGTCACAGGGGTTTTTGGGGATTATTATGCCCCAAAATGTGCAAATCACTCTAGTACAGAACATAGTCATTTAACTTCTTAGGTAGGCACCGCTTTCGAGACGGGCGACTAGATACATTGGACTCCGCAAAATGTGGAACATCAGTATTAGTTTCCGAATCAGAGCCATTGTCAATATTTTCCTCCTGAGAATCATACGTAACCAATTCTGGATCATAGTCATTTGAACTAATAATAGGTTTCGGAGGCGGAATCGATATTTCCAAAGGGATATCTGGTGTGGCGGGCGGAACGTGAAGCATCTCTTGCTTATTCCTTTCGCTCTCTTCGTCAGAGTCGAACTCAATCGGGGATTCTTTCGTAGAAGCTTTGAAATGTGTCTTTACTTTGAAGCAATCGGAACACTTAACACGATAGGAATTGTTCCTGAGCTGGTTACCTATAAATTTACGAATATTACACCATGGAAACTCCAAGGTCACTACAATGTATCTTTCTCGAGCATTTGTTTTGTTGAGGTCTTTTCGAAGATAAACAATATCGCCTACTTTTAAATCAGGAGTAACCGGAGTTTTGATTTGAAGGGCATTTTGCTTTTTCACTTTGTACATGATTTGTCGATCTTTGAATTTGTTGAGATGATATTAATTTTTGATCTTCTACAGGAATTTGTCTATTGAGAAACTGATCTCTTTGCATCCACATTTCTCTGGAAGATAAGCCTCGTTTGCGAATGCGCGTGTTAAGACGGGCGGTTACTATCGCGAGATTCATGGGAGTTAGTATTTGATGAGGTGACGAGTTTGCTCTAAGAATTTCACCCTCCAATTCCTGTATAGCCTTTTCAGCGACCGGGTTTTTGTTGAGGTTTTTGGCACGTCCTAACTCTATTGATATATGCTGTCGTGTTAACAACTGGTCATCTACCAATGCTTTGAAACCTGGAGCTGGATCGGTTCTAATCACAGCGTACGGACCATCCAGCGGGTGAACCTCTGCCAATAATTGTATGATAGCATCCCGTAAGTTATGATGACGCTCACTTTCTAGCAACTTTGTGAATGTAAACAAGGTAACACATTCTCGAACTACTAAAACGAGTTGACGTTCCCGCTTCATTACATCGGCAGCAAAAGCCAATCCAACAGTTTCCGGTGGATCTTCGGAGCTTTGCTCATCCCGCATTTTTGGTGCCTTTGCCAGGGATGCAACCTTTAGTGACCATGTCTAATGATTTGTCCATATCCAAAGCATAAAAGTACCTCTGTACGACGGATTTTAATTGGCTGACGGAAGGGTGTCCCAACTTTATATGTATAGAGGTCAAAAGTCCGTCGAGAACTTGTCGGGGAACCACAATACATTCCTGACTTGGCATAAACGGCAGGTGCCTTTTAACAATAATGAGTCCATCTCGAGATAGTGAGGCTATGTTTAAGTATCGCTTTATATCTTTTACATTTGTAAGCTTCTTTGAAGGTCTTGTGCCTTGGCGAAGATGCGCAACAGTACGGCGGAGATCAGCACACTCTGATTGAATAGATAACCAAGCCGATTTACTTGTAAACGGACATTTTACGGTTCCATTAAGAACATCCTCAGTAGTAATATGACGCACAACAGATTCTTCTTGCTGACTTATAAACAAACAAATTTGACAGTTTTGATTCGAACATTCGGTGCGTTTCGGCTAGCGAAATCTGATGGTAAGATTGCTGCTCCAGAAACATGGCGAATTGAAACTTGAAAGCGACTTGCGGTAGATAGAAATGTAGACACACGTGGACTTGATGAAAACTCCCCTCTGCAAAGCTTTTCAAAGGCTTGAACGCATGGCTTACTGTCGGTAAGTATGCATGTAGATGTGGACGATTGGATAATGTAGGGACTGAAGTGCTTTATTGAGGCAGCGATTGATAAGGCCTCAATTTCACATGGTAACCAACGATTCTGGTTCTGACGGAGTTTTGCGCTAAAGAAACCAGCTACATGAAGCTTATCCTTCCTATTGATGTAAAGAGTAGCCCCGAGACCTCTGCTTTTCGAAGCACCATCCGTTACAATCCATAGTTGATCAGACGGACGGGGAAGTGTTATTGAGCGATTGGAAGATAAGGCCATTTGAGCATTAGAAAACGCACTTACTAGGTTGTCAGTCCAAACAATAGAGTCTTTTGATTCACCTCCAGCTATGACTTCTTCTAGAGGAGATAGTATTTCTGATGTGTTTTTAATGACCCGAGAAAGCACTTTGTATGCGCCTATGAATGAGCGCATAGCAGTGACAGTTTGAGGCGGTTGGCATGTAGAAAGCGTTAAAATACGATGAGGACTTGCACGGATACTCCCCTGTTCCCATATCCACCCGAGAATTGATGCTTGTTTAGGTGCGATAATAGTCTTAGTAGCTGATAAATTGAGGCTGCATGAATGAAGCGCTTCCAATACACGTTCGAAATTTGTGAGCAACTCCTCTGGTGTATTTCCGCCACAATACAGATCATCTGCGATTTTAGCAACAGTACCATCTTGAACTAGGTGTCCTAACACTCTACACGTGAGTTCTTCAAGAGCTGTCTCAGAACCAGGCATTCCCATTGCTGAACGTACATAAGCTCTTACGCCACGGAACGGAGTTGATACACCACAGTACTTCATGGAGTCTTTTGACAGTGGAATTTGGTAAAAGGATTTAGTCAAGTCAGTAATAATTATATACTTCCAATGCGCAATTTGCCTGAGAGTTGAATCGACATCAGGCATTAATGACGGTTGAGGTTTGCTATATCTACCAACATCTGCAAAGGCTGTGACTAGTCGAAAAGTACCATTCGATTTGTTTACAAGAAAGGACGGATTCAAATACGCGACTGTGATTCCCAACTCCTCGGGGCGTTTGAAGACACCGATACGTTCCAGTTCGTCAAATTTGTCCTGGAGACTAGATAACTGAGATTTTGCATATTGTGGTAATCGTCCTTTTCGCTGAGGAGGCTGCACGGGACCCATATTCACCTTCGCTTCCAATGGACCCAATGCACCATTATAACCTTTAAAGTTTGGATTGAAGACGTCATCATACTTTATAAGTAGCGATTTAAACTGATCTCTCATACCTGTTGACAATAAGTTATCTGGGTCGACACGGACTTGATCGGAATGTGTTGACTTTTTCATGTTTGCATTTGCTGAGTTAGGTAGAGCTTTTGATTCAGATTCATTCCCCACAGGACAGTAAGTAGCGCGTACGTGACAAAAATGTTCATTTTTTTAAGAAGCATTGGTTCGTTTGATAAATTCGGTATTCGCAAATTTCCACCAACGCTTGAAACCAAAAATGGCTGCGGCCAAGAGTTGTTGTCCGAGTCCCTGGTATGAGGCTCAACCGAAAAGATGTTGTCTGTGGAGCGCATGTCAGACGGTAACATAACATCAATAAAGTCTCCGGGCCACAGCGTAATTGATGTTGAAGGAGCACGTGCGACGTGAGCACGACGAATAGCGTGATTTGGGGCTGAAGTGCTTGGCGAGCCGTAGTAGTATATGTGGTCATTTCCAATAGACACCTCACGACGAGCTGGTCGTGTGGCAACGTCATTTACCTCCATGAATGGAATACCGGCCAAAACATCTGTATCTAAATGTTCGACAACTAACCCTTCAAAATACAGGTTATGATCTTTGCGTGTAAATGTTATCCTAGTTTCCCCTACAATGTTTAAAGGAGAGGAACCATCGGCTTGGTGAGCAGATTGGGAGCTAGCGGTGATTTTTGCGTTCAGTTGTGCTGCAGTTGATGCACGAATCATATTACCGGTGGCGCCACTGTCAACATTTAAACGAATCGGAATATGGCCACAGTAAGTGTCAAGATAAGGAGACTGTCGAACTTGAACACGGTTAGTAGATACCGACACTTGTCGAAGCTCTTCATCGGGATCGTGTAACTCAGAATCATCAAGAGGAATATCATCAATACATGTAGCGCGGGCCCTTGCCAAAAATTGTCGGTCTTGTTGCGGCAAATAAGTACACTTACTAAGGAAGTGGCGATCAGGACGTCCTGCGGCTTTGCAAAGCGGACACGACTTTTGGTTGGGTTTAGACCAAGATGGACTTGACTGCGGCTTTTGTCGTGGAAATTTTCTGACCGTTGTTCTCATGGTTTTGGCATCCTCTGCTGAACGCAACCCTTCTAAAAGTGAGTCCAGTGCTTGCGAAATTTCAGGTTTTATAGAGGCTAATGTTCTTGCTCGTAACTCAGTACCGTATCTCTGTTTGACAAGTTTAGGTAGGTCAGGGTTTATCAGTCTCAGCCATGTTAAGACAACTAGATTTTCAAGCGTTGGAGAGAGCTTCTCATCTTCGGTTATCGGTTCGTCGTGGTGTTTGATGCCCATATCCTGATGTAACAAGCTATCTTCAATAAATGCGGTGAGTCGTTGGAACAAATCTTCGGGTCTCTCTGTAGGATCATATCGGATAGAATCAAAGTCAATAAAATGGCCACCAGTAATTTGGAAACCATAGTGGAGGCGGATTGTTTGCCAAATATCATCAACGGAGGTAGAGTTTTTAACAATAGTGTTTCTGGATATTACTGGACAAAAATTTGCTATCTGTCCTAACATCAACTCAAGAATGTTGACCTTTTGCTCACGGGTTTTCCTGTCAGCTTCGGCTACATCCTCACCGTCGTTCACAAAGCCTCTGTGGGGTGCAGTTTTGGTCTTTTTCTGCCATTTAAGCCCAGCCACGAGAAAGGGAGCAAAGTTCTTGTCTAAAGAAAGGCTGTAGATTAAGTTCTGTCTCCAGTTTTCAAATGAGTTTACAGTTTCATGTTTGGTAAGGCACCATTGTTTTGGCGCGCGGGTAGAATTTGCCATTGTCAATGTTTTTGTTTAATACACTTGCGTTCACGGTAATAATTCTATTACGAGATGACGTACACAGGTCTTTATCGAGCGTGGGACGTAAATTCGCTGCCACCACGCCAGTAAAATGGATGTAGATCAACACACAAGAGTATAATCAAATACGTGATTTAATATGAACAAATGGCGTAGTACAGATTAAGGGAGAGAAATACATCATTTAGTCCGAAACAGGCAAAGTTCCGAATGTATGTAAATACACAGTCTGACACAGTCTGGCGGAGCCTTATATGTACCTCGAGCTTTTTAAGTTACCTCGAGCTTTTTAAGTTATCTCGAGCTTTCTGTTACGTCGGACTTTGTCACTTTGTTTCCAGAATTTTTCCTTGGTTAACTCAAGCTTTGTATGTTACCTCAATCTTTCTGTGTTACCTCGGGCTGTCTATAGGTTACCCCGAGCTTTATATGCTACCTCGTGATTTCGAAGGTACCTCGAGCTTTCGAAGATACCTCGAGCTTTCTAGTTTACCTCAATCTTTATAGAATTCCTCGATCTCGAGCTTTCTAGATTACCTTAGTATGGTACCTCGAAAGTACAAATGTATTCTCAAGGGTTCAATCTTACCTTGTAATTATATATGTAATAGGTTACATTGAATTTTTCAAGTTACATCTAGCCATGCATACATGTTTACCACCACTCATTTACCATTTAAAAGAATAACACAACGCATATTATTGAGCAAAGATGTACTTTAATACTTATGAATATTACATTAACATTTATATATTTATTGTAACATATTGGTGTGCAGGAATTCTAGCTTACGGAAAGTGTATAAAATACGTGTTTAGAAAAATGTTAATTATGTTAAAGACATAATCAAACAATAGAAAAACCACTTGATGTTAATGACAATGATAATAATGTGTAATATTTAGTTAATATAATACACAGTATATTAATATGTTATATCTTATGAATATGAAGTATCCCTCATATAAAAGTGTTTCCCTGCTTACATTTCATACACATTTAGTTAGTAAACCTTTTCCCTTATATAAACATGTTTTGACGGCTTTTTGTCCCCCCCCCCCCCTTTTTAAGGCCTCAAACAGTGAAAAAATGCCCTATTTAGGCCCAAAACACTGTTTTTCGTTTGAAAAATGTTGTTAAAAAAGTGACCACTTTTTCGGCGCGGCCCCCATCAGAATAATACATCAGGGGGTTGCCAGAATGGGGATGTGCCCTCTTCTGTTGGGGGTGAAGGGGGCGGCAGTCCCCCTAATCGCCAAGAAAATTTTGGACATGTGACAGGCTAAAAATGGCCTCAGGTCGATCTTAAGGTGACGTGTAACCAACGCTGAAAAGCCTTTTACTCTATCTCATTGCATTAAGAAGTTGCAGCACTTTGAAATCAGTTTTGATGGGAAAAAAGCAAAACAGTGATTTTTCGCAATTTTGAGACGTCCCCCCGTTGCCATGGTAACAGAAAATTTAAGATTGAGCATGTTGTTATAGAGGTGTGCCAAGTTTCATCAGTATTGAAGCATTTTTCATAGTTTTATAGCAGTTAGAATTTGTAACAGGAGGCTTTTCAATGAAAACGGCCATTTTTCACAACATGCTCATGGGGTAAAAGGTTAATGTAATCATTATCTTATAATAGTCTAACCATGTGATATTCTATAAAGTTATCAATTTTATAAGTAACACCATATACATAACATAATAATATCGTCCTTTTCTAAGGAGTGTCTTGGTCATAGATTATTTTAGATTATTTCTTTGTTCCATTGTATTTATAGTTTGCGCAGCCACCTTGACATTTGTAACTGAAGCAAACAGGTAAGTAATTGTTTGATGATACAAGTTTATATGTGTAAAACACTTGAATTTCTTTATCTAGCCACCACATCCCCCGCCCCCACCTCCACCACCGCCACCACCACCGTCTCCACCGCCACCACCATCACCTCCGCCCCCATCACCACCGCCACCCCCATCACCACCACCCCAACCACCGCCTCCACATCCGCCACAGCCTCCGCACCCTGCGTCACCGCCGTCGGCACCGCTAAAGTCAATTCCTCCAAAGTCTCCAGCATCATCAAAATAGTTTAATTCTTTGTCAATGTCTATAAATTCTTCTCTATCGCCTAAACACATCCGACAGAAACTAGATCCAAAGTTTACAGCAAAGTAAAGATTTGACGGCGTCTTTTGAAGCAAACCGGAAGCTTTTACATATGCCAAAGCCTCGGATGGGACAGACTCGACAGCTCGTGCTCCTCGTGCTGCCATTTTAGCGATTGGCGTCGGGACACATAGCACGTGCAGCAATGATATTGAGAAGGCAAGCGCCACGTGCTCAGCTATCTCGTTCGTTTGAGGATCGATGCGAAGAACGCCGGTCTTTACGTCCATCCTGGCTGAGTCTATGTTCAACTTATATTGTCTTAGTAGGTACGGCAGGTCACTCTCAAATAATTCTTTGGTGCCTATTTTATAAAACTTGATTCTAAGAGTACCAGGACTGCCTGGAATTCCTCTGCGTCCTTAAAAACATAGTGGAATTTAATGTTATTTTTTCTAACTGAAAGCTACTGTGAAAATAACTGCGATCTAAAATAAAGGCATATTATGCCTTAGAAATAAATAAATATTTTCTTCTTTAGAAATGTCAAACGTGAGTTTTATAACGTTTAAATAATCGTTTTAGAGTATGTAAGATGTCTGTTACCTAAAGAAAATAGCGCTAAATTTAAAATAATTAAATAATACGTCATAAAGGTAACAAAATGTAAACAAAGTAGTATTTTGACTTCCATAAACAATCACTATAAACGTACTAATTGCTAATAATGAACAGAAGAAGACAGTTCAGGTAATTGGCTAATAATTAACGTGTTGGAAAACAATAAAAGAATACTAATCAAAGCACAGAAGGCGCTGAATTTGTTTGGGTCTCAGAATGTCAGAAAGGTGAAGGTTGTGAGATTATTAAACAATGTGTTTATGTATAGTGCCACCAATGCTTTCCAGCGTTTTAATTGTAGAAGATTGGCTATAAGACTAATTGCAACACTGATATTCAATCCAATGTTTATTTGACTTAACAATTTGAGAAAAAAATGAGTTGCCTTAACTGGGATTTGAGCTCCAGACCTCTCGCTTCCTAAGCGAGCGCGCAAACCCCTCGGCCACGGTGAACTTATATGTTAACGGCCTGAAGAAAACCATATTATTCTAAATTAGGGTTTGTAACGACGCTAACTGTTGTTTAACACTTGTGCGCCTACTATAATCATGTATATCTATAAAGAATAAAACAATATTAGAAATCTTCGACCTATCGGGAATTATTTTGCTTGAAAATTAATGCGCCTGTCATGTGACCATATTTACGCAGTGATCTCCCCTGAATTTTAACCGCTTCCTAGTAAATCGGACTACTTTCGGCATTTGCAATTAACAGCATTAGAGTCTGAAATTTCGCTACCATTATTTGTTTGGTCTGACGACCCAAACAAATAAGAACAAAAAGATTTTGAAAAAATAAAAGCATTTCCGGGGTATAATGGGCCTTTAATGAGCGGCTGTTTAACGCTTTACTTCTTTTCATCACAAAAATGTCAAAACTAATAACCAAAATTTTCTAAATTGTATCATGTTAATATTATAATTACTTTAAAATACTTAAAAACGAATAAACAAACGACAACGAGAACGAACGAATAAATAAGTCAGAAGATTGTATGTATACCTGCTTGCGGAGGAACGCCTTTTCTCAGTCCTACCCACTGGCCGCAAACTATTCCCCAGTCACCACTGTTGTTTTTGATCAGTACAGCCCGCTCCCCTCGTTTAGGATTAATCGTTACAATATTTTGATTGACCTGCAATTGAAATTCTTCTCCTACTTAAAAGTATGCGTGCAAATAATATAACTTTTTGAGGAATGACTTAAATTTACAAATATTCCTATCTATTAAGAGTTTGAATGCTAGCTAGAAATGACAAAAATTAGGAATAGAAATTTTAATTTATCTCGGGCAAATTGAATAAGTAACATCTTTACAAAAGCCGACTTGTTCAGTTTAGCTTAAGGTCCTCAGCGTACTCGTTTATATAGTGTGATATGACGTGCCAAATGAAAAACAAAAACAAAATGTTAAAAAAACAGCAGTTTGGGAAGCTAGAACAAGCCCAAGATAGATAGGTATATAGTCAGAATTTAGTTTCTTATGGAAGGATTTTTTACACTTAATTTATGAAACGGTCATTGCCATTTAAAGAGATTTCATCACCAATTAACCATCCACATAAAATCAAATCAGACTGTTCACAAATGAAGGCAGTCTGTCTCATTACCTTACCTCACTACTACTATTATTCGCGGAGTACATTTATATATAATAACTATTCACCTGTGTCGGTAATGGTAACTGATCTGCTGCAATTAGATGAGCAAGACAACACATCTTGTCGTCGTAGTACACCTGTATTGCTGACGTCATCAATGACATATTGTGTACAACTCGTACCTTGAAAATATCCTTACTAAGATGATTTCTTAACCTAAAATAAATATGATTTGCTACAACAAGAAAAGCTAGCGCAAAGTCGTATGTTAGGGAAATACAACGAAAACGGTTAGAAAATGTATTAGAAAAAGCTCAAAATATGGGGACAGTAACGGCAACATTTATCTAATGTATTACAAAAATATGACGTCACAGTGACCAGACGACAACAATTTAGAGCTTGTGATGCAATTGTCGTTAAAAAAGCAACAACAAAAAACAACAACTTAAAATCATTATAAAAATCACCAAAAATAGAGCACTATATAATGTTAATACGTAAAGTTGTAAATGTGAAATAACTTGAGAAGAGCTAGATATGGAGAAAAAGTAACTTACAAATGTGTTGCTATTTGACAAGTATTGTTTTGCTCTGAAGAAAGTTCTTCCGGTGTAATTGATCCCAGCATTGTCTTAAGGTCATCAGGTATTTTTTCATCTTTATACGAGCCTTCAATGAGAAACAGGAATACGTCACTTATTTTCGGCTGTTGATAGTGACCTTGAATATCCAAGGTCACGTTATCTTTGAATTTTAGTTTGCCTTTTAATAATCCGCCAGGCTTTGTGGCGTTTACTGGAGATTCTATAACGGGCATTAGGTCCAGGAAACTTGAATAAACAACAGCTTTAGAGCTAAGCAAGCCTGATTTTTGTTGTATGGAAAATAGAACGCCATGTTCGTTCATCGTATCGAATGAAAAGCTGCCAATCTTTGACCATGCTATCGATGGATTGCCCGGTCGGCTGCTTGCTGGACGTTTTAGTTTGAACCACTTTGCAACTTCCGCTCTTGAAACCTTAGCGCTGCTTGCCAATAAACTTACATGCTTGCTTCGATTGAGATCTGGTGACGGTACATTTAATGTTAACATATCTATAGACAGTAAACACCGCTTCGTACAAATCGCGAACTCATCTTTCTGCGTTATTGTGTAAAATTTGTCGTCGGGCGGATTGCCTCGAAACATTGCTCCACATTTCGAAAACGATTCATTATAATCTTGCTTCCAAAGGAAGCGAGTACGCTGATCAGCAATGTTTAACTTTGACCCCTCGTGCCTTTCGTTGACTGAATCGTCATGGTTAAACAATTGTCCAATAATTCTTGTTGTTTCAATTTTATAGAGCAGCGGATTCAGCTGATGAGTATGCCAAATGAGGTCAATGTCGTAACAGGGGACGATGAATTCGTCAGAATGTTTCCTTTTCAGCAACAAGAACTGTTTGTACCTGGCCAGTGAACTTTCTAGAAATTTCTTGTCTTGGTAATGAGGTAAAGAGACCTGGTAGCAAAATAGCCTTTGTCTTTCTGCAGCCGCCATTATGTCGTAACTAATACGTGACGTAAACTTTGAAACCACGCCTTCATCATAACTAGCACTGTAGTCGATGTAGAATGGTTCCGAATATTTTTCAGACCAATACCCATGCGCCCGGTTTCTTGAGATTTGAAAGTCGTCTGGCCTGAAAATGGTATGGTTGGCGGATGTCCCAATGACTTCATGACAATCCCTCTCGTATGCCCTTGGAGACAACATATGACAATGCCACACCCACTCGATATCCATTGGCGCAGACAGACATTCTCTTGGATGTTCGGCGGCCAATGGTAACCAAAACTTTTCGTATCTATAAATAGCTCGTTTAAGAACTTCCGGTTTACAAAGTTCTTTGTTGTTATTTACAGCCTTGATAAACTCAATATGGTAGACAGCCTGGTCTACAAGATCAATCCCAAAATGCAGAGGTGGTGTTTGTATTGCCATTCTTTATCTGTAAAGACAGCATAAAATTGATTTTCGGACTATTTTAAGTGTGATTTTTAGACATTTTTTAAGTGCTTTCATAATTGACAATCAAATTGAACTGTATATCACGCGTTATAATATATAAAAACATCCATTAATTTTCATGTTTTGTTTTTATAGCTGTCCACCCAGTGATATCTTCCCCAATATTGTTTTATAATGCATTATGATGAACTGATATTGTACAAGAAGTTATTGTTTCAGAAAAATGTATTACACATTTTACATCACATCATATTAAAAGATATTAACCAGCACACTAAAGTAAAACGTTGACGGCGGTTTGAAATCATACCAGCATAAAATTCCAACAATTTAAAAAGCTGGTAATTATGTGATATGTGTCCACCATATAGATTCATGTATGCAAGTGATGGAGTTTTATCATTTGATGATGAATTCTTTTTCCTTTTTTTTCAAAAACCTTTTTATGTAAAATAGAGAGAAACAAGAATCCCTAAAGAAAGCCCAACACGCAAAATTGAAAATGTTGCAGGCTCGGTTTGATTGAGCCTGTTCATGGACGGTACTGTCAAGTGCAAATACCGTCCACGCCCCCTAGCACCCGCTTAAGCAGAATTCAACATTTAACATCAACTGGTAAAATTTAGAATTTAGAAACATCCCTTACAACGCTAAATATCTTAAATGGATTTGCCCATCTTTCAATCTGGACAGAACCAAGAAAAGAAAACTTCAAATTATGTGTACGGTAAAGCCATGATATTGCCGCTAGCTGGCCAAGGGTAAATAAATCGTATGTCGCTTTTGAGTAAACTACACACTGAAATGGTAGAACAATTTTCACTCAAAATGGAACTATTCCAGTGCCGGGATTATCAGCTGATCGATACAATCTAGTAATCAATACAAACAAAACAATCTTTATAGGTAAATACGGGTAGTTTAAAACAATCGATCAATTTCTTCATGTTATACTGCATGTGTTTAAAAACGCATTTTCCGAACAGAGAACTTTATTTTACTACGGAGACACTTTAAACCAACTGTGTATAAAGCAATTAAACCTAATGCAGTGTAAAATATCCCACTGCAACCTGTTCAATTAACTAATCAAGATGCACAGAAGATACCGCATAAATACATAAATTAAAATCAATTCAATTTCACTGTAGTTTTCAATGCATTGTTAAAAAGTCAAACAATGTGTTTTTTTCCAATGCTAAATACAGTAAATGTATATACATGTACGTAATTCTATATTAGGTGACACTACTTTTTGGAGAAATTAAACAATAGATAAACAATATAAAAATGTATACCTTTTCAATATTGTATCCGCGCTACACGTTCTGCACAGTGTATCTCAAATCTATAATATCCCTGCAGATCTAGACATAATTCTCATAAAATTAGAATTATACAAAACAGGTGTTTTAAATTTTTAATGCGACATATTATTCGAAATTATGAATTAGTGTCAGGTAGACCAAGTTATCGGATATTCAAATTTAACCAAGCGTGACATTGTACACAATCTTGTTTTTGTCCGTAAATCGTGTGTTTCAAACGTAAATATTGAAGTTTAAAATATCACAGTTTATGTATTCAAAGTTTACTATGTAATACATGTATATATTCGCTTCGCTGAATACAAAGGTCGTAAAATAATATATGGGATGTCCTAAAATCCGTGCAAATGAAAACAATGATTCAAAAAGAAGTCCCACAGATATGCGCTAGCAATCTTGATATGCGCTAGCAATCTTATATATAAAAAAACAACAATATACATGTAATAATAAAATTGCAGAGTCGGTTTGATTGTGTCTGTTCACGACAGATAATGAAATAGCGTGCTAGTTTATGGTGTTCGTTGCAAAAAATAGCATTCCGCTGCATTAACTGGATTTTGCCATTCTCGAAATGTGCACAAATATTGTCAAAGGTTTAATTTACTTGGTCTTCAGCAATTAATTAAGCACAATGTAATTATTTTTCTTGTTGTATTTTTTATGTATGCTAGTCCTTAGAACATTTATTTGAAAGTGTAAATGCAAATTGTTCATCATCTTTGTCTTTACACTCTTTCATGTTATGTTCACAGTGATCTGATTTTCTGTAGCGAAGTAAAGGGGAGCCACTCTGTAGGAGTTTGCAATGTCTTGTCATTAAATGCACGTGTAACTTCCGATCACTGTACCTTTCCTTGTAACCTGAGTATTTCAGCTTGATAATGCAGGAGTAATACTGTCCCAAAACTGACACCAGATCGGCATACGAATATGGAATTTTGAATTTCGTGCGAAAATGGCCCGAAATAGAAAGTGATATGAAGCTGTGATTTAAATTACCGTTCTTGAGCGAATGTAATGTAGGTCTGTATATGATTGGCGTCCGCGCCGAAGCGCGGCGCCTTTTATGTAATGAAATCAGATTTTGTGAAAGGGCGACAGCAACTTCTCGAGCCTTTCATAGTTGTTCATAATAAAAGCCGATCATTCCGATCGGTATGAGGGTGCTTGATTATTGCGATATGTACAATGAATAGCGAACTGGAGAATTTCGCAATGCAAACATTTTCAAATGAAATAACCTTTTCAAATTAAATAACCTTTTCCGTCAATAAATCGCGCCCTTCAAGGTATTTTTATTTATCATTTTGTAGTACACAGCGGATTATTATGGTATGTCATTCCGAAAGCTGTAAATAGAATGATGAGTTGATGATCTAAATATTCCGAAAATCTATTTATAGAGGGATGTACTCCTGTCGGTAATTCCCGGTCTCTCCTGGTCTATTTTGACGACCGGCGAATAGTACCACACGTTTATTGTCCGGTCTCTCCCGGTTTTGGAGTAGATGTTTGATATCGTTACAGAACAGAACAAATATTTTACAGATAAATAAGCTTTTTTTCAAAATGAATGTTTGTCACTTAGTTTGGTTACAATAATTAATAAACACAGATCAACTCTCAAAATTATTGCTTATTATTATACATAAACATACAATTCGAAAAAAAACCCAACAACATAAATCGCATGTTTTATTTTATCTATATGAGATAAAAACAATAAATATGAACAATAATTGAGAAAAAATGTACATTTTTATGGCATTAATATGACACTATCAACTTTGAAACATTTTATTTAATTTGTTATTCGTGTTTAGTAAAGATGCCGAGGAATTATTCAAAGTTACAAATCAGATTTTATGAATTATTCAATTGATTGATAATTTAAGAAATGATAAAGAAAAATACAAATGTACATGTATATGGTTTAAGAATAAACAATATTATATATTGAAAGATTAACCATAATTTACTGACTTTTTCCAGTTAAGTTTTGACTTATAATCGTCGGTCATTATGACAATTGAATTCTTAAAATAATAGTAAACGTAAAAAATCAGTATTAAAATAGTGCATAAAACACAAAAAAGAAAAGAAAACAATATTCATAAAATCTGTATTTTTTTATTAAAAAAGATATTACAATTAGTGTATAATAAACATTTATGCTCAACATGGTAATATAACAAGTGTCATATTGTTACTAAGTGTGAACAGATACCTTAAGAGGGGGTCTTCGCTAATAGTGATAACATAATAAGGGACAATTACACAAGTGTGGTGTTGATCATTCGTTACTCATATGGATTATAAATGATTGTATACATGTATATTCGTTGTGTATCAATGTAAAGAAAATCATTTTGTAGCATAAGCTAATAAATGTCAGATACGTCGAAATCAGAATAGCACCCTTGTGCAATACGAATGCATTTAATTATGGCGTCAATGAATTCGTATTTTGAAATGTCACAACTTGTAAAATCAGTCCGGGAATATGTATAAAACACCATATTTCCATAAGAAAAAATATGTTTTCAATAATAATTAAGGAGAACGTTATGGCTATATGACAATGGTGGAAATATGTGATAAAGCGACTCGAATTAACGAGTTCTGCTTTCAAGGTAGTGAAATAATAATTTTTTACATTTTATCAAATATGCACCCGTATATTTGACCTACAATATTAAACAATACAACTAACCGGGTTATCTAACAACTGCAAGGTAAGATCATTTGCTTAAAAATTTATATTTTAGAAATCAATTAGTATAATTTGGTAAGGAAATACGTATATATTTTTTTCATGTGTATTTAAGGGATTTTTATATCTGAATTATGTAGAAGTAACGATTACACTACTATTAATCGTTCATTTTTTCTGACCCCCACTTTCGGTTTTGTTTAGATCAACCCAAAACCCACGAATATGTGTTGATAAACATTTCAAAATTTAAACATATCAAGACTAAAGAAAATATACTAAAAGCTATATGAGTTCTAAGTTAAAGGATCAGAAAACAAATTAAATATACATGTTCATGAACATGCATTATCAATATTTGGATCTTTATGGATCTTTGAAGAGGTTAGTTTTCAATGCAGCATTTGTAACAACATTGTATTACACCTTCTTATATATGCTATAGCAAATTTTAAATTTAATGCTCTGAACAGTGTATTACCATGGACGTTTACTGGTTTACATACGTATATAGGTGTCTATACACATGTTACGCATGCGCAAGAAGATGGCTTATTAGCAAGAATCAGCATGGTCACGAAGCGCGCTGTTCTTATCCGTTAATTCTAGCATTTTTAAATATCACTATATTTAAACCGTTATTACAATCGGTTATCTATTTCTTTTTATTTGTACACGTGATTATAGTGTGCAAGAAGACAATATCTGTCACTACCGGGGTATCATATTCTCCAGGTTGTCAAGGACATATACATACAGTCTTTAAGAGAATGAAAACTTCATGATTGGTCATTGGGAAAACCTCGACCATTATTCAAATTCCGTATCAGAAGTTTGACGGAAATTGCCTTTGGTACTTACATATATATACTTCGTGTTCTGATAAAATCAAAAGCCAACTTATATAGGGTTTAGCATTTGATTTAAAAGTTATCAAAAGGTTAAGAATGAAATATTATTAGTACACGTTATCAGTGTGCTCTAGTTTGGACCCTGCATGATATCAGTTTTTTTACAATCGAAACTTTTTGACTATTTCTGTCAATATTTGGATGCGGACCTCGAACATATGAATGGGTGTACGTGAGCACACTAGACCACCTCCTTCCAAATGAGTACGTTTTTAGCGTCTTCATGAATATGTTCCAGGCATTGTAAGGTCTACATTAACGCAGGACAAACAAATCATCGAAAATCTGTGATTTAGCCAGTCGCGTTCTATCTATCTATCTCTGGATACTGCCAACCCCTCTTACGAGTGTTAAAGGCAGATTTAGTGCACGTCGGATGGTTAGTAAAAGGTGAAAAGAAAAGCTAACAAAAGAAAAGTCCAAACATTGACATGCTTGGAAGGTGAGACTGAAAATGTATTCTAGTCATGGTTAAAATGTTAATAGTGAAACAAGATGATAAGAGATAAAATAGTTTAAAAACACTGGGAGTAAGACTAGTACTGCAAACCCACCACTGCCTGTTTGAACTGACTCAGGTTGGGCAGGGTGGCAATGTTACTAGGAAGTTTATTCCATAGTATAATGCTATGAGGGAAGAAAGAGTACTTATGGTAGTCGGAGGATACCTGTATTTGGCGTAGGGATAAGGGGTGCATATGTCTGGTTAATCTATGTGGGGTTTGAACATATGTTGGGAGATTAATTGCAACTAGGTTATGGTATATCTTATAAAACATTATCAGTCTACAGTCCAATCTGCGATGTTCAAGGGATCGCCAGCCCAGTTCTTCCTGCATGGCTGTGACACTAGAGTGAGGGGAGTAATCCCTTTTAACCCATCTTATTGCACGTCTCTGGATCACCTCAACTTTGTCAATATTTTATTTTAGTATATTTTATATTTTGTCAATATCTTTACACATTGTGTATACATGATTATAAATCGTTGGTATAAATCTATATTTACTATATTTAGTTTTATTTACTATTCGGCACGAATCCTTCATGAGATTAGTAAAGGTGTTGCTTTTTTCTTTCACATTTACTTACGATTTTCTATATAACATGTGTGATATGATGTTAATAAGAATAACGATGCTACTCTATAACTAAAGGTAATGCCGTTTTGAATGTACTTTGGGCTGGAGGCCTTATAATGCAATAAAACGTTGTTGTTGTATGCATTTTCAGAAATACAGTGTTGCTGTTGTAATTGTGTTACATGCATGTTGGGTTATATTGCTTTTCTGACATGTACGTTTCTTTACGATGTAGGTTTTTAAGGAGGTAATACAGTCCAATGGCAACAGCAGACGACTTGGTACATTGTCCTATATGTCTAGAGATATATGATAAACCACGTGCCTTGCCGTGCTTACATACGTTCTGTAACACGTGTCTACAAGAGTATATAAATGCAGCTGCACGTGTAACGCCAGGATTAACTGGTACTGTACAAATTTGAAGTTAATTTCAAACATTTTTTTAAAAACAACCTCGATTGTTTGGCAAATGCTGGTAACATATATGTAATGACTTTTAAATGAACGAACCATTAACTCTTTTATATTATGAGGAAACACGGTCGCTATCCGAGTAGGGCTCAAACTCACTAAACCTGAGTTAAGAGGCGGACACTATAACCACTAGGACACTGTTCCCCTTACTAGTCCAGATCACGTACAGTATCTGGCTAAACTGTTGATGTACATATTTGAAGTTCAATAACACTACATTACTTTTCTTTTCTGGATAAAATAGCATACTATAGTATGGCAGTTGATAAGGTCGTTCACTTTGAGCCACTCCCCCCTAACGGCTGTGGGTTCGAATCTCACCAGGGGCGTTGGATCATTGCATGTGCTTCATGAACGTCGAAGGTTCTACTCGTGCCTGCAATAATGCACGGGCGACTCCTGAGGTATTCCCCCATCAGTTAAGCTGGAAAGTCGCCATATGAACTTTACAATGTTGATGCGACTTAAACCAAATAAAAAAGGAAAAAAAAAAACATACAACATTATACACCATACGACAATGACTCGTTATTACACGTTAATTTGTAGATTTCTGAGAATAATTATTTGATCAGTCATCGCAGCAATCACTTTATTTTCAGGGTTCGAGTGTCCGCTGTGTCGCCGCCACACACCAAGTCCAGGCTCGGCAAATCATTCTGCTTGGTCATCTCTGTTTCCATTAAACCATATCATCGTAACTCTACTTGATAGTAAAAATCTAAAACCTACAAGTAATAGGACAAACGATACACAGGCAAATATAAATACGAATACTTCGAAGTCGATTCCAGTAGACGAAGCTCCAACAGAGACTTTGCTTGATGAAGAAACTGCAGGAGATAACAGATTTGACTTTGAAAAAGGTTTTCTATTCAAATGATAAACATAATCTTATTGAGTCGCTTTATTTAGAATAAATATAATATAATTATTTGGCAACTGACGAGTTCTATCGCTCATTATTTATTGTAGATGTACATGTCTGATCATGATTAAAGTATATGCGCGTTACTATGGAAACTGTAACTTCCGCTTATGTACCTGTCGATCATTTATATCATTTGACTCACTCCTTCGGGAAACGAATATCTTAGTTAGTCCAAATTAATTTAAAAAAATAAACAATTTAGAACAACTAGATGTAAAACTTCTTCTTCAGCCAGCATTTATATGTAACATAACTATACTCGGTAATCGAACTCTAGCTTCGAAAGCAGACTTTGCCGATTTGCGAGCCCTAAAAATATGTTCTTTATTTCTTTATTGTAATCAGAGCATAGAATCTGCACGGAAGAGCAAGAAGATTCGTCAGCGTTCCCACCTCCACCATACTGGGCTCACCATCCCCCATCCCACGGATTTCCGCCTCCACCATATGGACCCCCACCTCATCATGGACCCCCACCTCATCATGGACAACATAGACACGGTCTCCGACATCATCCTCATGGACCGCCAAGACATGGACCTCCTCCTCATGGACCTCCTCCTCATGGACCTCCTCCTCATGGACCTCTTGAACATGGACTCCCTCACCACTGGCCCCCACATGGTCACCCTAGACACAGGGGTAAATTTTAATGAATATTGGAAAACAGATGTTTTAAATATGTCATAAAGAAAAACATAATAATTAACTACATGTATATACATGTATATCCATGATAACTCCGTGATAAATAGTTGTATATGACTATTTGTAATAAATCAAAGTGCTGATAGCACGAAATTGAACATCATATATATTTATCATTGCGTAAGAATGTGAATTTTTTTTTGTACATAATTGTTCTCGAATCCATGATGTTATAGTATATTTTTCCAATTTCTTTGAAAAATGTTTACTTTTGACGTTTTTATTTTCAAACTAGAATTAATGCATCGTATCAGTCGTCGTCCTCCTTTTTCGTTTGTCGTACATATTGGCACGTGGAAATATGTCATATCAGCAGTATCATTAAATCTAAAACTTATGATTCAGTCATTTGAAAATGTTCCGAAGATTGAGATCTACAAAGAGTATGCACATTGAACTACATTCTCGGACCAAAAAAATCTACTGTGCTGAAATTCATTGCACAATATGCTGTTATGCAGACAATTATTTCCTTTTTGCGACGCTTTGACACTTAATTAGGACTCTCTATGAAACGCAGGTGTTCAGTATTACACATTGTACGAAGATGACCAAAGCCAGTTATTCAATCACACAAAAAAGACTGACTCAATAAAACAGAAACATATACATGTAAATGCACTAAATTATGTAAAAATACACACATATTATCATTTATATTTCAGGGGGTGGTTGTCATGGAAGAGGGAGATTTCATCATCCACATTGATCGTTGTGTGTATACTTGATTAAGAGACATCTTTAATGTATTAAAGAATATTAACATTTTATAAGCAATTTTGTGTTTAGCCTACAACACATCGTATTGTTTAATTAACCTTATTTGACATGTAATATATGTGGCTGTCAGTTTTAGTGTTGAATCTCGCGTGAGAGTCAATATTAGTTTTGAATCTCGTTTTAGAGTCATTATTAGTGTTGAATCTCACGTGAGAGTCAATATTAGTGTTGAATCTCATTTTAGAGTCAATATTAGTGTTGAATCTCACGTGAGAGCCAATATTAGTGTTGAATCTCGTGTGAGAGTCTCATGTTGAATCTCATCTAAAAGCCAATATTAGTTTTAAATCTTATTTGACAGCCGATATTAGTGTTACATGATATAAATCTTATGTGAAAACCAAGATTAGTTACTTTTTAACCAAACCCAGCAAACACATGACGTTAAAATAACGTCGGATTAATGTTAGATTTTGGTCACGACGTCGGCAACCAAAATACGACGTAAATCTGACGTTAAAATACCGATGTCTAATAGACGTTTCTTTTTGACGTCGTACTAACGTCAGGTTCTGGTCGGTGTCCTGACGGTAGGTAAAAAAATAACAAAAAATAATATTTATTCGCTGTTGTAATCATTTAAACTTTTTTTTCAAATGTTATTTGGATTACAAATGAAGTGTTGTTATATAAATACAGACCAAGATCGCGGCGCTGCAACCTAATAAAACATATAGGTGGCGCTGTATATAGGCAAGTTACATGTGTTATTGTTATGAAATCTATTTATAGCCACAGATCTGTTTACAAGTTCCAATCATTTAACGTTATAATATTATCATTTGTGGTACATTATATGTATCAAAATCACGAGTTTTTTTAATAGTGCTTTAACATTTAATCATAGTGACAGAAAAGGGAAAGAAAACATAATTAACCTATAATTCGAATCTAGAGTCACGTGGATGGAAATTCAAATTCGTAGGCGTTACGTTTTGGCTGTCGGTCAGGAATCGGGATGCATTGATAAAGTGAATATTATAGATTTTCTTGAACAAAAAGGTCAGTTCAATTTATTTAGATTTATTTCTACTTTGTATTTGATAAATAATTGCATGATTGCAAGCACTCTTAAGTTTAATTGTCATTATTTGAACAGCTGAAGTAAAATGTCACACAAATTCGCGATAATGTCTAATAATAAATCTTTTTAAATTGACATGTTTTAACTCTGCTTGTGAAGAGTTTATAATATGCCTTTCAGTACTACCAAAGAGAATGCTTAGTTTTCATATTTTTCTTAAACTGTGATGTTTTTGTCAGTTAAAATCTGAGAATTGAGAATGAATTTGTACGATTTCGAGCATTTCGGACCAAGACGTTTCGGTCCCAAATAACCCAAAACGTTCCGGTCCCAAATAACCCAAGACGTTTTGGTTCCAGACATTTCGGCATTAAATCTTTAATTTAAAACTATGAAATATTTAAGACTTGCGTAACTGTTCTTTTTCAAACGTAGAATATATACATAAGTTAGAATATAATTTTCTTTTCAGGTAGTTAAAGTGTTGGACATGCTCTCAAAAGTCGGAGGGACGGAAACACGTGAATATGTAGAAAGAAACATATGAAAGTAAGATTTTTGTAAATTCTTTTACATACTTTAGTCCATACTAAACTGGAGTTTAAAAGCGGCTTTTTAAATGTTCAGTATTTATGTTTACTTTTAATTTTTGTTAAAGCTCTCTTATAAAAAGTTGGCAAAATTGTTCATTAACTTTAGATAACCATGAAAACATTTTTGCTTGTTACTTTTACATGTTTCATAAATTTCTTTTTTTTTCAGTAAAAAATGATGTCACACACGCTATTGGACGCTACAAACGCTACATATCCTCCGGACAGACGAGGGGTGCTGAAAGAAGGTCATATCTTAAAGCATCACACCTCAAAATTCGTGCTAATTCTCATGGATATCTAAAAGTATAACTTTGTGAAGTAACTAAAAGGCAGCAATTTATACATTACTGACAATTATCAAAGGAGGTCAAAATATGCAAAATGGCACTAAATGATTTAGAAATGCTGTAGAAATATAGTTAAAATACGAAATTTACTAAAATTGTATGTATCAGCTTAAAATTGCAACTTTTATTTTAAATTAAAAAAGCATAAAACATATTTTTGCTTTTAGTTTTCTGTTATACATTTCATTGGAGGAAAAGTTACTTAATAGAATGAGTTACATTAAATTCGATCAAATCAGGATTAGCCAGAACATATTTATGACGTGGTGAAACAAAAAAGATTAGAGGAATGATCAGATGAAGGTCAGAAAATGATCAGATTTAGGGCAGAAAAGGGTTAATATTTAGGTCGGAAAACGGTCAGATTGAGGTCGGAAAATGGTTAGAAACTGGTTAGATTTAGGTCGGAAAATGGTCAGATTGAGGTCGGAAAATGGTCAGATTGAGGTCGGAAAATGGTTAGATAATGGTCAGATTTTGGTCAGAAAAAGGTTAAATAATGGTTAGATTCTGACGTCTACCTGACGTCAGATTATTACGTCAAAAAAACTTTCAAATCCAACCGTTTTTCCGACCGTCATCCGACGTCAGAACCTAACTTAAATCTGACGTCAGTATAACGTCTTGTGTTTGCTGGGAACAATGTAAGTGCTTAAATTCATGTTAAAACCAATGGTGTCTTCAAACCTCATATGTGACGATTTTTTAATAACCTATTTTGATGCATATTATATAAATATAACCTACTGTTTCATCATAAAAAACTTATATAAAGTGTTGATAAAAATAAACTTGTGTTAAGACTGGGACATACAATGTATAATGTCCCAGGTTAAAACCATGAACATAACAACTCGTGTGTGCACTGTACAAAACACTAGATCTTATCAGGTGCGTATATTAATATACGTACCTGATCTTATTAATTTATGTAATATATATTTATGGTTGGTAAATCTATTTGTTATTCAATTTTCTTGATTATAAATAAACATAACAATATTTATGATTGATAAAAGGCTAATTAATTGTTGTTCTTAATATTATCAATGAATTATGAAATCCATATTTGTATTTTATATCTTTGAGATAATCATAATTATAAATTAGATTATGAATTGTAAGCCAATGCAGACATGCGCGTATGTACACTAAAGGAAGATCCTGATACTGAGTTTTTTTTAAAGAGTTACTGCCCTTTGTAAAAGTTACGCCTTGATCGTAACCAAATTTTGGAAGAAGCATGTCAGAACGTGAACGATCAGCTGACGCTGTGAAGAGCTATGGGGGTTCATACTCTATGGAATATTCTTGAGGACTCTGGTGAAAACAGTATAACGATCCGAAGTTTAAAAGGGAAGAAACTCGCCGTTGACTTGAGTGCATGGATTGTAGAATTAAAACAAAGCAAATTTGCTTCGCAGTATCACAATATTTACATCAGGTAATATACAGAGCAACAGATAAGCTTTAAAATTGAACTGGGTATTACTCCATCATTTCCTTTGGAATTGGGTATTAGCTCAATTTAATTGGGTATTCCAAAACTCGATACCCTATGATTTCAAGATTAATTGGGTATTCAATTATGAAGATATGAATTTTATAGCTTCAATATCAATCAAATTTAAATTTTTTTTAAAAGAAAATAGGATTAACAATTTACTAGAACTTTTCACAATTGTTTTATCTTTTATATAAAATGCTCATGTTATATTTCATAATATTTTTAACAAGTTCGTTTTCTGACTGATTTTTGATTTACGACTGTTTTGTTTCAAATCATTTTCCTTTTTGTACGACGCCATATTGCTTTCAAAGCGTCTATTGATACAGCTGGGACCTACTTATTGACGGTCTGCGCAAAATCAATGGTCTCTGCCGGTCTGTAAAGACCGTTGACCTGAGTAGACAAATCGACGGTCTCATGCTTTATTGATATGGCTTAGTCTGTCTTTGGAGACCGGGGACCGTCGAAGACCAGAGACCGTTGATTAGTTAGCATTGATTCGGGAATATTCGAATATCATGCATATCGATATAATTTGTCCAAAACTACGAGCGTACGACAGATTAATTTTGCGGTGATGAAAATGACAATACGCACAGGTTTTTAAGACAATTGTGTATTTTATTTTTTTTAATGGGTTTTGATACGCATTCTTAAGAAATCAATTGCCTATTACATAAAATTAATTGCGTAAATAGGCAAATACGCACCTTATCTGTTGCTCTGATCTAAATCATGTGTCAGATCTTTCTGACTTTTTTGTTGAACTGTTGAATAGGTATATCAGGAATCTTTGTCGTGGAATACTACAACATGACTAGTTTAAATTAATCTAGTCAAAGAAAGAGACGAACCAATGTTATATCTTTGCCAAAGACCAAAGACTTTGGCCAGATGCCAAAGACCAAAGACTTTGGCCAGACTTTGATTTGTTTATGATGAAATTTTTTAACAGGTGTTGAAACTGTTGGACAGTACATAACAAAAACGTCTGTAAAATTAGTCTGCTCTTATATAACATGACAAACAACTGTGGTCTGAAAATGATATTATGAAAATTTATCAATGTAATTTTTTATAAAACTTTTAGAAGCAATTTATAATTTAAACACTATGCTTATTGGTTGTTTTGGTGTCAGTTTGATGTTAATTAAAGTCTGTAACATAAGACCTCTTGTCTAGTCAGTTGTTGCTTGTAATTAAGGCAAAAAAAATCATAATAGAACCAGAGATTGTTTGAATATTTCTGTTTATTTTTGTGTATTTTTTCTCTTTCAGAAATTTATTTTATAGGACAATAGAATTTATGAAGGAGGGTGTTGAGTTGGTGTTTGTGACTGATGGTCGAGCACCGGACATTAAACAACAAGCGTTGCTGAAAAGACAACAGAACCAATTTGGTTCATCATCTAACACTGTGAACACAGACAGGCCTTATCTTAGGAATGCTGTATCTCAGGTAAAACATGATACAAGAGATTTTAGGTGATAAATGTTTATCATCAGCTGGTATATGTGTGTATCAAAGAATTGCAGTATATCATCATATCATACATACCACATGCTATCAGATGGATATCAAATTTATAGTTCTATTGTTAGCTGTATAATTATATACATGTAGATTGAACTTCACAAGCTGTATAATTATATACATGTGCATTGAACTTCACAAGATTGTTTTGTATTAAGGTTAGTTGTGCATGAAGTAAAATATTGTGAAGTAAACAAAAAAGTATTTGAAACATTGTAAAAGGCACTTGCAATTCTTGTAAATTACCAAAAAGAGGTCAAAAATATAAATATCTCATGTAAAAATATCCCTTACTGTCATGCAGTAAAATTAGTCATGCAGTAGAAATATGGTGATAAACTGCAAAATCAGTAGTTAATCACATATAAAATGTAAATTATCCCTTGAATATTTAATCATTTTGCTTTACTTAAAATCTTAGTACATTTTTTTTATTTCCGTGAAATATTTTGGCTCATCTGGAGGCATGCAGCTCTAATGGACAAAGAATTATTTTCTAGTATTATCCTAGAATAGTATGGAATCAATTAGTCTTGCAAATATTTGACCATGTACCATGTTACTTTAACAAATGCTTTGTTATTTTTGTTTTTAAAGTTATATTTGTAAGGATATTCATTTAGGTTTTATTCTGTTTATATCTAGTGTGTTGAGATGTTGGAATATCTTGGATTATCTTGTGTGGAGAGTTCTGGGGAAGCAGAGGCTTTGTGTGCTGAGCTAAACAGAAAACAGGTTTGTAATCAATGAGGGACAGTAGTGAATAACCTCCCCTGAGTACTCCCTATAAATAGATAGGTCCTAAGCTATTGAATTACTCGGACTTTATCGCCTATTTCTTTGTAGCAAACTGAATTAATTAGGGCTAATTATGATCATTTGTAATATTCAGATTAGATATTGCGATAAGATGTAGAATCTGTTGACATAAATTAAACATTTTTCCCATAAGGTTTACATATTTGTTGATGCATGTGTAAATAATTGATTAAGACATATCAACCTGTCTTATATAAAACTCAACGATAAAAGCAAAGGATTCCAAATATTTGGACCTACTTACATTTTGGTTAACCTCGGTTTTTATCAAGGGAAGATAATCCACTACTGTCCCCCATTACTGTCTAGACCTGTATGCTAAGCTAAACAGAAAACAGGTTTGTAATCAATTAATGTCTAGGCCTGTATGCTGACGTAAACAGAAAACAGGTTTGTAATCAATTACTGTCTAGGCCTGTATGCTGAGCTAAACAGAAAACAGGTTTGTAATCAATTACTGTCTAGACCTGTATGCTAAGCTAAACAGAAAACAGGTTTGTAATCAATTACTGTCTAGGCCTGTATGCTAAGCTAAACAGAAAAGTTAACAGGTTTGTAATCAATTACTGTCTAGGCCTATATGCTGACGTAAACAGAAAACAGGTTTGTAATCAATTACTGTCTAGGCCTGTATGCTGAGCTAAACAGAAAACAGGTTTCTAATCAATTACTGTCTAGGCCTGTATGCTGACGTAAACAGAAAACAGGTTTGTAATCAATTACTGTCTAGGCCTATATGCTGAGCTAAACAGAAAACAGGTTTGTAATCAATTAATGTCTTGGCCTATATGCTGAGCTAAACAGAAAACTGGTTTGTAATCAATTACTGTCTAGGCCTGTATGCTGAAGTAAACAGAAAACAGGTTTGTTATCAATTACTGTCTAGGCCTGTATGCTGAGCTAAACAGAAAACAGGTTTGTTATCAGTTTCTGTCTTGGTCTGTCAGAAAACAGGTTTCTAATCATTTAATGTCTAGGCCTGTATGCTGAGCTAAACAGAAAACAGGTTTGTAATCTATTTCTGTCTAGGTCTGTATGCTGACGTAAGCAGAAAACAGGTTTGTAATCAATTACTGTCTAGGCCTGTATGCTGAGCTAAACAGAAAACAGGTTTGTAATCAATTACTGTCTAGGTCTGTATGCTGAGCTAAACAGAAAACAGGTTTGTAATCAATTACTGTCTAGGTTTGTATGCTGAGCTAAACAGAAAACAGGTTTGTAATCAATTTTTGTCTAGGCCTGTATGCTGAGCTAAACAGAAAACAGGTTTGTAATCAATTTCTGTCTAGGTCTATAATTATGCTTCATTACATATCTGCTGCCTTGTTACATCAGTAGAAAGTGTATTGTGCAAAAATGCAGACTTCTTGATAACATTTACAGTACTTACTTGCCTAAAAGTTGGATTGCCTATAAGTCTAGGTCTATGATTTACATAATTGATGGTTGTTTGCTTGGACTTGAGTTTTAGAACTCTTATAATGAATGAATTGGAAAAGTTGTTACTGGACATTGTTTCTTGAAAACCTTCAAAACTACTTATCACAGACATTAGGGCTGTGAGTTCAAATTGTGGGCAAAATAACTGTCTTTTGTGTTGTAATGCCAATTCAGGTTATGAATTATTTTAAGGAAATTTTCAAAACATGACTTTCTAAACATGTAATTTCTGAACAGTAAACAGTCCAGCAACACAGATGTGCTGGCTATTCTTGGTCTGCACATCACAGGAATAAAACCACTTGGGCCATCCTTAAAAAAATGTTTGTTTGCAGTAACGCGACCAACTCACAAAATTTGCATCTACTCAAAAAAAATTTTCATGGTCTGTATAAATTTTTTTTTTTTTAATCAGAAAATTATGCCTTGTGCTTTGTTTTCGTTCTTTTAAAGGTTAATAGAAGAAATAAAATGTAGGTCTAATTTAATTAGAATTCAGTTATCAATTTATTAATTGTTACCAGATTATCAAAGCATATATTGTCCAGCATTTTGAAATTCCATGTTTATTTGAGAGTACAGTTCAATAAAAAAAAAAAATCGACCTACCTACCCACCTTGAAAATTCTGGGTCGGGTTACTGCAAACAAACATTTTTTTAAGGATGGCCTTGCTGTCAGCAGATAAAAGGGTTAAATTATAAAATCTTGACCATATAATCATTTTAAGCATAACCTTTATTAGCTCACCATAACCGAAGGTTTAGGGTGAGCTATTAGTATCAAAGGGGGATACTCCCTTGTCCCTCGTCATGCGTCAACCATCATCGTCTTCTCTGAAACTGCTGGGCAGATTTACCTCAAATTTTGTCTGTAGCATCTTTGTGACAGTCACACTTAAATTTGCTCAAGACATGTCATTTCCTTTGAAAAATTATTTCCAACACTGAAAAGCAGTCGTTTCTGGTGAGAGACTCAGGGCCATCATGACCCTTGTGTTATTTTATTAAATCACTTTCTTGTCATATACTATAATACATGCCATGTTAAGTTTGTAGTCACTAGTAAATGGCGTTAAAAACATATATATTTATTTTCACATTGGATTATATCAAATAACCGACCGTACAGGATGAGTTCTGTTAATTATTACCATCATTATTTACAGCTTGTAGATGGCTGTTTAACAGAGGACAATGACTTCTTTCTGTATGGCGGTAAAACTTTGTATAGAAAACTTACCAAAAACAATAAGGTAAATGTATTTCATTTTTGTGCGTATTAGTATTACATTTCTATGTTTATTAGATAAAATTGTATCATATATATTATGCACATGATTGTGTCATATTTTGAGGAATGGATGATAATTAGATACTTCTTTCATGTGGGCCAGGTGATAATAAGGTATTGCATTTTTGAGGGCTTTGTGATAATAAGGTATCACATTTTTGAGGGCTGGGTGATAATAAGGTATTCCATTTTTGAGGGCTGGGTGATGTTGCATTTTTTAGGGCTGGGAGATGTTGCATTTTTTAGGGCTGGGTTATAATAAGGTATTCCATTTTTGAGGGCTGGGTGATAATAAAGTATTGCATTTTTGAGGGCTGGGTGATAATAAGGTATTGCATTTTGGGACTTAGTTATAATAAGGTATTATATTTTTGAAGGACTGGCTAATTAATAGATTTTTTTAAAGACTGGACAATGATAAAGTATTTCATTTTTGAGGGCTGCATAATGAAAAAGTTACTTCATTTTTGAAGTCTTTTATGAGGATAATATGAGTGATGATCTTTTTCTTCATTAAATATATCATATTGATGAGATCAAGCTATTGAAATATTTACTTAAGAATTGTATGTCAAGATGAGCTTTTAGTCTGTAAAATGTTTCCATTTAAGTGATCGTTTGATTGGTCAATAATTATCATGTAATAAATTTGCATAAAGTTTGACATTCAAAAAATGGATAGAAATACCAAATATTATTAAAATCCTTGGCCAACTTCATCCAGAGCTGTTTAGTTTTACTTTATGATTATCTTTTGCAAGCAGGTGTCCAAAATATTTATTTCAGTTAGTAGCATCATTGTAAGTTGACTGGCATTAATATGATCTCTTTTAAAAAAAATCCTAATTTAGGAAGATTTATTTTACTTCAACTGAAAAGTACTCCAGTAACAAATTTTTCATTTTCATTTGTGATACGTTTTTATTGCTTTGGTGTAATAGTGTACACTTCTCTTAAGTGAAAGTACAGCTATTTTAGGCAATATGATAAAGCATTTTGTATTCTTTTACAGATGTATTTGGTTGACAGAGTTGATATGGATCAAATAAAATCTGACCTTGACCTAGATAGAAGTGACCTTGTAGCATTGGCACTATTGTTAGGGTCGGATTATGATGAGAAAGGAGTTAAATGTATAGGAAAGGAGAAAGGAAAGGCACTCATCAAATTGCTTAAATCTAGAAACTTTAATCCACTTGACAGGTAAATATATATATGATGAATTATGGAATGTCAGTTCTTATATATGTGACAATGCTTTAGAGAAGTTGAAATTGTGTGCGATCTAGTGGTTAAAGTTTGTACATTTCGTATATGGGTTTGGTTTATAAAGAATTTATTTTAGTTCTCGATTTTGTACGAAGTTATAACCTTAAAGACACTCTTTTGAATCCATTCCTGGAACCAAACCAGTACTGATAACCTTATAGACACATTTTCAAATCCGTTCCTGAAACAAACCAGTACTGAGCAATGAGTGTAAAGTTTCTTGCTCAAGGAAACAACAACTTGCCCCGTACGGGGTTTGAACCCATACAGTTAGCAATCGCCAGATTACTGGTCAGACTTGCTAACCACTTGGTCATGCCACCACTTTATATAATATTCTGTTTATCGGTTTAAATTGAAGTTGCAACTAGGGGTGTCATGGTTAGAAAAAATGCAAATCGTTTAAATGGCAACATAAAAAGCTTGTTAAACGTTTAACCGAACATACTAATAAAATCCTTAGATTTTCAACATTAACTTTGTTACTTTATGACAAGATACGCATTTTGTTCATATTTTGTTGTACTCAAAATAATTACAATACATATCCGAATATGGAGTAACTATTTTCCGCTAGGGTCGTTCCGCATTCGATCAGATCAGAAAAAAAACATTGTTGAGTACAACTTAAATACAAACAATTGTCATATTATGTCATAAAAAAACTAAGTCAAATACTAACCTTGGTTACTGTTTATTGAATTTTCTAACTGGTTTTTAGCTCACCTGTCACAAAGTGACAGGGTGAGCTTTTGTGATCGCTTTTCGTCCGTCGTCCGTCCGTCCGGCGTCCGTCCGTCGTCCGTCCGTAGTCCGTCCGTAAACTTTTACTTTAAATGACATCTCCTCATAAACCACTAAGCCAATTTCATCCAAACTTCACAGGAATGTTCCTTTGGTGGTCACCTTTAAAAAATGTTCAAAGAATTTAATTCCATGCAGAACTCTGGTTGCCATGGCAACCGAAAGAAAAATTTTTAAATATCTTCTTTTAAAAAACCATAAGAGCTAGAGCTTAGATATTTGGCACGAAACATCTTCTAGTGAGTGTCTACCAAGTTTGTTCAAATAAAAGCCCTGGGGTCAAAATTGGCCCCGCCCAGGGGGGTCATTGATTTTCCCTATATGCATATAGTAAAAACTTAAAAAATCTTCTTTTAAAGAACCCAAAGAGCTAGAGCTAAGATATTTAGCATGAAACATGTTCTAATAGGTGTCTACCAAGTTTGTTCAAATAAAAGCCCTGGGGTCAAATTGGCCCCGCCCCGGGGGGTTCTTGATTTTCCCTATATGCATATAGTAAAAACTTAAAAAATCTTCTTTTAAAGAACTCAAAGAGCTATGGCTAAGATATTGAGCATCAAACATGTTCTAATAGGTGTCTACCAAGTTTGTTCAAATAAAAGCCCTGGGGTCAAAATTGGCACCGCCCCGGGGGTCATTGGTTTTCCTTGTGATATAGCAAAAACTTAAAAATCTTCTTTGAAAAAACCCAAATAGCTAGAGTTTAGATATTAAGCATGAAACATCTTTTAGTGAGTGTCTACAAAGTTTGTTCAAATAAAAGACCTGGGGTCAAAATTGGCCCCGCCCCGGGGGTCATTGATTTTCTTTATATGTGTATAGCAAAAACTTAAAATCTTCTTTGAAAAACCAAATAGCTAGAGTTTAGATATTAAGCATGAAAACATCTTCTAGTAAGTGTCTACAAAGTTTGTTCAAATAAAAGCCCTGGGGTCAAAACTGGCCCGGCCCCCAGGGGTGTCATTGTTTTTAACTATATGTGCATAGTAAAAACTTTAAAAAAATCTTCTTTTAAAAGCCCAATGAGCTAGAGCTTAGATGTTTAGCATGAAACATCTTCTTATGGGTGTCTACAAGTTTGTGCAAATAAAAGCCCTGGGTTAAATTGGCCCTGCAACGTTGGGGGGGGGGGGGTTGGGGGGGGGGGCTTATATACAGGTGAGCGACCTCAGGGCCATCATGGCCCTCTTGTTAACTAAAAACCGACTGTTCTCTTTTAATCGGATAAACTTGGCATCCATAGTTGCAATGCTACATGTTTTCATATGAGGAAAATAACTATCAAGCTGGCTTACAACAGTTTGCTTGTTTTATGATCTTCTGCTTAAGACTTTTCTCAATGATACACAATTGTGGTAGGACAGCCTCAGACACTCTGAGTGTATTGAATACAAACTTTGTATAATGTATTTTTAATGAAAATGTTTAAGGTTACAAGGATGGAGGGAAAATAAAGAACTTGACCATATTCAGGAACGGTTGTCAGTAGAAACCAAGAAGGAATGTCACTGTAGCAAATGTGATCATCTAGGTTTGTTGACAAATTTTATTGAACTTTAACCTTTAGCAACTGAATATACATGTACCCATGCGACCAGCCGTCTGCTGGCACATCCATGTTATTTGATCATGGTCAACAATATTAACTGTTCAGTCAGTACATATTTTTGATATTTTGTCTAAAATTAAAGAATGGAGTTGTTAAGTTTGAATAATAGACAAGTCCATTTAAGATATTTAGTGTGATAAAGTTGTCCAGTGATTTTGTTTTAAAGCACCTGACTGTGGCTTTCTGAATAGGAAAATAGAGCATGATTAATTAGAAAAAAGAAAAATCTGAAATGTAGCACCTACAACTGAGGCATAGCCACACATATGAGCCGCGTAATGACAAAACCAACATAATGGGTTTGCGACCAGCATGGATCCAGACCAGCCTGCGCATCCGCACAGTCTGATCAGGATCCATGCTGTTCGCTTACAAACCCTATAACAAGTACAGAAACTGATAGCGAACAGCATGGATCCTGATCAGGCTGGTCTGGATCCATGCTGGTGGCAAACGCACTATGTTGGTTTTGTCGTGACACGGCTCATATAATCAAATTTCTAGATTTAACATGCCTGATTCACAGCACAGGCAATCTATAATGACAGCTTTCTATATTTCAGTCCACAAGCTAATCTTAGCCACTGTGGAGTCATGGTTTTGGTGACAAATGTGCACCGTGGCATTGTAGTGAAAAATATAGCACTTTTCTGGGGAAGTATACATGTAGCTTTTATGGAAGAAGGGGAACAGCCTGTATTCTGCAGTAAAATAAAATAAATAAAATCTCTGATGTCTTATTGTACTAAAAAAAAATGTACAGGTACATTAAATTTTGTATGTGTGATAGCTAGATCTAATTATGAACAGGTTTTTGTCATGGAGGACAATGAACTTAAGTTATATTTTGTTATGATGGACAATGAACTTAACCTTTTACCTCATAAAGACGTGTTTTGACGGCTTCCCCCCCCCCTTTTTGATACATCTAGAGGTTGCCAGAAGGGGGATGTGCCTCCTTCTGTTTTGGGGGTTTGAAGGGGGCAACAGTCCATTCAAGAAAATTTTGGACATGTGACAGGCTAACAATAGCCTCAGGTCAATTCCTTTGGCAAGAAAATTTACACTCATTCAATACTTTTTGGTTCCAGGAAAGGATTCAAGAGTGTTTATAAGCTTAAAGTTCATACACAATCTAAACCAAAATGAATTCTGTATACACTTGTTTGTGGCTGTGTGGTTAATATCTTTGGCTTCCAATTACTTGCCCCTCATTGCTGTGGGTTTCAATCCCATCAAGGACTTTTGATTATTTCATGTGAGGAAGCTATCTCGCTAGCTTATAGAACCTCTGTGGTTCTACTCAGTTACATGATTGTGCTTGAAATAATACATGGGTGGTAGGGGGGAGCACCCAAGGTCTTCCTCACTAATAAAGCTGAAAAGTCACCAATTGAAGTGTGCAGAGTTGGTGTGAAGTAAAACCCAATTTAAAAAAAGATGTATAAACTAAAATAAAGGAGTGAATATAAGTTATATGTCATTATTTATTTTCAGGTCGTATAAGTGCACATGAATCATCAGGTTGCAAGGATTGTGGGATGGAAATTGGTTGCCAGGATACAAGTATAGTCACATGTAACTGTCCCTGGCATAAACAGGAAGCTGTGAGGAAACAGCACAAACTTGAGGTTACCTTGCGGCAGAAATCACTAGAGAATGTTTCCTTTCCAAATAAAATGGTATATGTATACATTATCAGTTCATTAATTAAAAAAAGTTTATGATGCAATCTTTACAATACATGTATATTTGAATGTGTAACAAATGTTAATTCCTCTTTATGTTATATTCTATTTGATTTTATCAAAGAAGCTTTAATCTAAATGAAATCATTTGAGATAAGGAAAAATAAAATTGAGAACAATCATGCCACTAAGTACAGGATTTCTTACTTTAAAGATATTTTTCCTTCTTTAAAGTCTATTCTTTATTAACTTTAACTTTTGACTTTACAATATAACGCTTTCCATGGAATGGCATGTACATGTCACTTTGAAAGCTCCGTGATTACGACTATGTGAACACATGTGCTGGTGTTCTGAATTCAAATCGGGAATGATTCATGTTAAATGTTGATTCTGGTTAAGCTGGTGCTGGGGGGCGTGGGCAGTAGCTTGCACTTACCATTACCCTCCATGAACAAACTCGATCGAATTGAGCCTGAAATATTTTCAATTTTGCCATTTTGGGCATTCTTTAGGGATTTTTTATTTCCCATTTTATTCTTTTTTTTTAAAAAAAAACCCAACAAATTTCTTATATCAATGCATTAGGTGATAGAAGAATATCTGAACCCTGGTCTCAAGTCTTGTTCGGAAATCCAAAAATCATCCATAAATGTGCCAAAGCTATTGACATTCTTGAAACATCATCTTGGTTGGCAGTCTGAGGAAGTTTTAGGCAAGATGGTTCCCATTGTGATATTGAAAGAGATGAGGGAAGCTGGAAGCCAACCTGATTTAATGTTTACCCCAGTCAGGTAAGTGCAGAAAATATGGTACTATGATGATGTTAAGAAATATTACTTGATTTTGAGTGTGTTATAGTAAAATATAGCATAGTATGGAGTTTAGATGTGCAGGAATATAATCACAAAGGCATATAATTACCCGGTAAAGTTACTAAACATACTTTCAGATTAGACTTTAAGTCAAGGTCTTGTGAATGTGTGCTTAAACACTTGGCACACTAAATAACCAGAAGAAGCTTCTGAAATTGGGGCATCTGCTTGTACTATCCCCCAAAAATCTAAAAATCTCGGCCATATTGGTAACCTGTGGCGAGTATATATAAAATAAATATACACAACAAGGAAAAAACATATAAACAACATACAGTTTGATATAATTATGCTACAAAGCACTCAAAAGCAAGATAAATTTCAATTGTTACATGTAGGTGCCATGAAGAAGAAGGAAAAGCAGTGTTGGACTACAGACTACATGTATTCTAATCTGCAGCAAAAGAGTGATCAAATCATATGTGCAATTATTTTAAGATTTACAAATTTTGAAAACATTTATTTACATTCCGTAACCTAGCTAGTTGTTGATCGTGTTTATTACACAAAGGAAATCCTAATTTGTCGGAATCCAAGTTGAACTGGAGACATGCTCATCCTTATATACAGTCAAACTTGAATTAAGCGACCGCGCAAGGGAAACACCCAAAATGGTCGCTTAATGAAACGGTCTCTTAAGACAAAGCATGATATAAAAGTCAAAATTTACAAGTGACATCTTTCTTATGCAGTGGGTATGTTTAACAACTTCATTTTTATATAAATGTTGAATAATTAGTACGCTCGATAATCTGTAAAAACTTCTTTCTGTTATTTATTTACAAAACAGTTTTGATCCATTACGTATCATACATGTTTGACATTTTTTCCAGATTCTTTTAACTTCTCCGTTGCTTTTCCTTGTCTCCAACACGAAAACCCTATTAGTGAGGATGTTTTTTCTGTCGTGCATTTTTCAATCGAAATAAACAAAATACATCTAATTTAATTGCTGATCAAGTTCAAGGTCAATTCAATGCAGTCTAATTGTCAACAAGCGAGTGTATACACCACATCAGTAGGGGCGGAGCGTTGCATTGTTTAATCGATATTATTGGATAATACACGTCATGCGTATACTGCTTACGCTAAAACGGTTTGGGAAATAGAGTTTTTCACACATTTATTTGTTGTGTTTTGATTGTTGACATTTGTGACATTACGAGGCGGAGTTCTCTAAAAACACAATTACTTGACAGGTAAAAGTGGTCGTTTAATGAAAAGATTGCTCTCAATTAGGTGACTAATTAGCGGTCGCTGGTCGCATTGAGCAAAAGTCGCTTAATACATTAAAAATATAGAGAGAGAATGATCTGGGGGAATTTAAAGTGGTTGTTAAAGACAAAAGTCGCTTAATACACGTGGTCGCAAGGGCAAGTTAGACTGTATAGGATTGGGAGGGAATAAGAATTGGCATTGTTTAAGAAATAATATATCCCAAACAGTGAATTTATCGCTCAATAACATCACTGTTTGGAGTTCTGATGCGACGAATTATATCATGAGGGCGTAGCCGATATAGATATATTAAATAGATTCTAACACAACATCAACAAATAAATGCTGCAGTACCTGATATTTAAGCAAAATTGCGCCTGATTTGTTTCCGTACTTATTTTCAGCGCTTCAGATTCTTTTAGATTTACGTCACATGTATAATGATAACATGACGCATCTAAATATAGAACGTCAACTGTGACTTTATTGCATAATAACACACTTTCGGTTCTTCTATTTTCAATAGTGAAAAATGCGGGTCGTGTTAGAATATGAAATAACACATGCTTTAGCCATCTTTGTTTATAAAGGAAAGTCTTTGATGGGGTTATATTGTTTCATAACACACTGGTTTCAATGTGCAACTTAAAAGTCTTTTTTGAATACAATTTATGGGTCTTTTAGGGTTCATATTACATGTAACTTATGTTATTTTGATGTTATTTTAAACAGTATCAAAACTAACAATTTATTAAAAAGAGGTATGGGGCTTCATATTCATGAATATGTTGAACCGCAATGTCTATATGGGTAGTGCATAAAAATTAAGGTGACTAGTAAAATGAATTTGCATTATATACCTGTGATATCAAATGTTTGTAAAGAATATTTGGGTTTAACTAGGAATTCAAACTCCAGGTTCCAATGAATTAAATATATGAAATAAGGTTATGTAAGCAAGGAAATCAGAGGTTGTATGTAATTTTATTCTGTTTCAGGATATTAAGGGCCTGTAAAGAGAATCATGTAGATTGTTATGAAGTGCTGTGGGACAAAACAGGTATGTTTGACTATAGTTAATAAGGCGATATTAACTGATATTTGCCAACAGTGTACAGCCATGCCAGTCTGCCGGGCGGTACATTTTGACAAAACTCTCTATTTTTTGTTGCTTACTCATTTTAGGTGTTTTGAAACTGAATTCCCTTACTGTGCTACTGGACTGTTTCAACTTCATAACAGGGCAAGTCCATTATATAAATTTAGCATGAAAAAGGGGGTCATATTTTCAGGGTTTGGGTTGGAAAGATGAAAGTTTTATCGATACAGTACTTATGTGGCTACTTTATTGTTCTCCCAATGTGCTTTTAGCCACATAAAGGAAAATAGCCACATAAAAGCTTACAGAATAAATGACATGAAAGAGAAAGTACTGTCACCTATTGTTCCTATAGCCACCTAAGTATTCTCCAATAAATGCGGACAAATAGACACACTCAAAGATTATACAATTTGTATGTATACTGGACAAAAATCATTCTAGCAAACTCGTACAATCTCTATCATCTAGATAACTACAATATACAAAAATAATTTTGTTAATCATTTACTATGTTCTATTTATTTTGATGCCTTTTTTTTTACAATATTAGATAGGAATCATTGGGCAGGTGCAAGTTTTTCAACAAACATAAAGGAAAAGGTGGAAAAGTCCCTGTTTCAGACTGTTTATCCGGTATTGGCCGCAAAGTTTGAACAAGAACTGACAGAGAAGAAGTCTGGAAGTGGTTAGTAAATGTTTTAGACTCTAGTTTAATAGTAAAAGTTTTACTTCATTCATATTTAAAGAGATATGGTGTTTAAGCTGTTAATCTGGTATTGAAATGAGTTTTATGCTGTTTGTTTAGGCAATGTATGATTTATTCATTTAGTTATCTATTATAAAACCATGTGCAGTCATTAGCATATGATTACCTGTTATGTAAAACTTAGAGTGACGTTATGCCCATCCAAGGGTATATAGTGAGTGAAGAGGTGAAAGTAAAGATAAGTTTACATTTTGCCATAATTCCTTTCAATTTTATAATTTTCTTCACATAGACAATAAATAACTAATGTGGCCCAATGAAATGTCTGTAATATCCTTCAGATTTTACATGTAATATTCAATTTATAAGAGAGGACAGTCTTTTGATATTTTAAGCAGATTTATATTTTTTTTCCTAATCATTTTCCAGATATCAGCTGTTTGTCAGTCACCATTATAATAGGTAATCTCTTGGAATAATATTGTCAATTTGGCACCACTTGGCAAAGAAAAATGAGCATAATGTCACTTAATACTCATATACATGTATACCTAAAAGAAGGTTTGAATTTCACAAAATGATAGAATTTCAAAGTCCCTGATTCCAACACTGATGAATGATAAAGTTGAAATTTCTTTAAAAGTGAAATTTGACCTTAAAGGTTATTGTCATTAAAGGGGTCAAGGTCATATTTTAGTATGTCAGAATGAAACTTATCTCCAGATGTATGTTACGTTCAAGTATGAAGGCTGTGGCTAATGAAATGAAGATCTAAAGATTTGTTATTTATCTTTCATCTTAACATAATTTCAGCCGCGCCATGACAAAACCAACATAGTGCATTTGCGAACAGCATGGATCCAGACCAGCCTGCACATCCACACAGTCTGATCAGGATCCATGCTGTTTCGCTTTACAACCCTATAACAAGTAGAGAAACTGACTAGCGAACAGCTATGGGATCCTGAATGTGCAGGCTGGTCTGATCATGCTGGTCGCAAACTTATTATGTTGGTTTTGTATGGAGGGGGGACCCCCCGCCGGTTTGGCCAATTATTATCCTTATTGAAAAAAAGTAAGTGGGGGGGTCAAGTTATTAACTGGTCTACATCTGTAGTTACAACCTCTCAAAAAAAAATATCAATTAGAGCAGCCGTAAAATTTCCATGTGGTCATCGTGACCTTTGACAGGTGTTAAGTGAGGTCAATTTTCTGAAATCTATAAATAGGTACAAACGTATTAAAAACTTGTAATAGCTTACATTTATGTATAACCACTAATTTGGTGCTATATTAGGCATGATAAAGTTATGAATTTGTGTTAATGTATTTAATATACACAGATATGTTAATATGACCTATTATCTACGTTAAAATGGACAGGTTATATGACCATTATAATACTGCACGTGTGTAACGTCAATTTTTCATTGGATAATCGTGACGTTCATATAAAGTTTTTATATACATGGCTGCGATGTCGATTCATGAACAATTCTTACTTTTTTTCTCTAAAAAATCCATGCTTGCTGTATTATAAATTAATTATAAAGACTGTTGACAGGTTATAAGGCCGTATATAAACGGCTGTTTGCAATATAACCTTAAATCAAGCGGCTCGGGTTATATTTACAAATAGCCATTTATATAGGGCATATAACCTGTCAACAATCCTTTTAACTAATATTATAATAACAATTGATAATGGTTTATAGCACTGGATGCTAGATGATGGTTATAAACAAACAAACATTTATACATGACCATAATAAAAAATTATCAACAATATTTATAACAGCACAATACCTTTACTTGTGAAAGAATGAAAATTCATAAATTTGGATAAGTAGTGTATATAGGTTATATGTACATCATGATTATCCAATAAAAATTAACGTTACATAATGCATGTAGTAATATTACTATACATTGAAAACAGGCAAAGTCATGTTATATTTAATGATATTAATATGTTATTTTATACATAGGAAAAAAGAGGAAGGCTGAGGGGTTGAAAGTCAAGTCTAACTTACAAGTTCCTAAGAAGATCAAAAGGAAAAAAAATTTTACCATTTTACTGGAGAAACGATGCGGGCCTCAGAAGGAAGACTTTTTAACATAGATGACAACAGTGTTGTTGATTTAACAAAGGTTGATGACTAGACTGTCAACAAAAACATCTGCAGATCTCCATGACGATGACAAAGGGAAAATTGATACAAATAACTGTGGCCCAGAAAACTCATTTACAGATTAAGATTCCAACAAAAACACTTAAATGAGGATGGGAAGAGTACAGAAGGTTTTCAGAAAAGTCTGTCAGGCAAGTAGCTCTGGGAAGAGAAAAGGTGAAAAACCACCAGAGGAATGACTTCTATTCAGAAGATTTTTTGTGAAAGAAGAATGTTCCATCCAGTTGAATTTTTAAGAAAAATGACACTTCAGCATTTAAAAAGATGAAAACATAGGTAAAAAAAGAATACTGCAAAATACATTATGCATTCACGGGTCTCTAATTTTTCATGGTTTTCATGAATTAAAGATCCAAACAAAGTCTTCTTTAACATTCAAAACACTATGACAATCTGATTTCGTATATATACAATCAGATAACCTTGTGTTTTGATAATATATAGTATGGTATGGCTATAAAAGTGATGATGTCACAATTAAGTTAAAAAAACTTAAATATATAAGGTCCGTTATCATGAAGAAAATGCAAAGCTGTCACAGCCTATGGTGTAGTGGTTCACGTACTGGACTGACAATTAAGAGACCTGTGGTTTGAGTCCCTGTTATGACATGCCAATTTTTGTGTGTGATTTTTCAGCATATATTGGTCTTTATCACAGTTAATCGTTATCTGCTTGCAGCAATTATTTGGTCTATTCTTATAAAAAACTGCCAATGTTTTTTAATGACACTATGTTATCATACTGCAATACCCTGCAGTCCGTAGAGTTTAAAACGTAAACATATTTTCGTGTGGTGTGTGTTTTAAAAAATGTTTCTTTTACATTTGAAAAAGACGTCAGATATAGTAATAATCATCTGTAACGTTTATTATCTTTTTACGTATATTTGGACTCACTCAAATGTTAAAATTACAGTTAGTTGCATTTCACTAACAGAACATGCAATTTTACACCAGCCAGTTAACGATTGTAACTTTATTTTTAAACCTACCAAATGGCTAGCTAAAAGTTTAGTGAAACGCAATAATACGTAAGTTCTTGCTTACGCAAAGTTATGTTCAAACTCGAGTTAAATATAACGTAAGTACATTAGACGCATCCCAGAGTTTTCATATCAAATTTGAGCAAATATATCTTTGAATTTCTTCTTGAAATTTTTAATGCCTAACACAGATATTTTGGCCTGTGCTATTAACCTTGCCATCCTATATAAAGCTGACCCTGGGGTGTTCAAATTCTGGACATCCATAATATAAATAAGGGCGTGCATGTTTATAGTGTTATGTGGTTATTCTATTCTTTTAACCAGTTTCCTGCAAAAGAATATACGAAGTTACATTATTATTAACAAAATATCCACTTAATATAAAATACTGATAATCTTAATAAAGCGTTCAAACAACTTGATAGTTTTCATCATTTTATCTCAGGTGAGAATCCAGGCCATGATGCCTCCTTGTTTATCTAAGTTATTAGTTCATTAAATTATGATTGTTAATTAAAATTTAGTCACGTATATTGTACTTGATATTATATTTTTTTATCTAAATTGAAATTCTTATGTTTTTGTAGAAGAATTTATAACCAATATTTTCTTACTTATGTTTTATTATTGTTGTGAGCTTTTAGCTCACCTAAGTCAAAATATCAGGTGAGCTTTTGTTGATGGTATAGTCTCATCATACATATTCTGTCATATTTAATCTTCGCAATTTCTTTAACAGCCATTTTCACCCAAAAAACCAGTGAAAATATTTCTTTCATTAAAATTTAATCTAATACTGATAGATAAAATTGCTACTATTTATTGTATCTTCTACATATATAGTATAATAATAGAAAATATACTTTGGAAATGATTTTTTTTTATTTTTTGTTCTAGCTCACCTGACCACGAAGTGGTCATGGTGAGGTATAGTGATGGGGCTATGTCCGGCGTCCGTCGTCCGTGCTTGTGCGTCGTTTCGTCGTCAACAAATTGGTTGTTAACAGTCTAGCAGTCACAGTTTTGATTGAATCATCATCAAACTTTGTCAGAATGTTTGTCTCAATGAAATACAGATCGATTCGAAAGATGGGTTATCTTCGGGTCAAAAACTAGGTCACAGGAGCTAAAAAATAGAAAAAAGCTTGTTAACACTCTAGAGGCTGCAGTTTTATCCAAATATTCTGGAAATTTGTCAGGAAGTTTTTTGATGAAATCTAGGTCAAGTTCGAAGATGGGTCATCTCGGGGTCAAAAACTAGGTCACAGGAGCTAAAAATAGAAAAAGCTTGTTAACACTCTAACAATTGGGTTGTAACAAGTCTAGCAGTCACAGTTTATGATTGGATCATCATCAAACTTTGTCAGAATGTTTGTCTCAATGAAATACATATCGAGTTCGAAGATGGGTTACTTCGGGTCAAAAAATAGGTCACAGGAGCTAAAAAATAGAAAAAAGCTTGTTAACACTCTAGAGGCTGCAGTTTTCATCAAATATTCTGGAAATTTGTCAGGAAGGTTGTTTTGATGATATCTAGGTCAAGTTCGAAGATGGGTCATCTCGGGTCAAAAACTAGGTCACAGGAGCTAAAAATAGAAAAAGCTTGTTAACACTCTAGTGGCTGCAGTTTTCATCCAAATATTCTGGAAATTTGTCAGGAAGGTTGTTTTGATGATATCTAGGTCAAGTTCGAAGATGGGTCATCTCCGGTCAAAAACTAGGTCACAGGAGCTAAAAATAGAAAAAGCTTGTTAACACTCTAACAATTGGGTTGTTAACAGTCTAGCAGTCACAGTTTTGATTGGATCATCATCAAAACTTTTGTTCAGAATGTTTGTCTCAATGAAATACAGATCGAGTTCGAAGACATGGGTTATCTCAGGGTCAAAAACTAGGTCACAGGAGCTAAAAATAGAAAAGCTTGTTAACACTCTAGAGGCTGCAGTTTTCATCCAAATATTCTGGAAAATTTCAGGAAGGTTGTTTCAATAACATTCTAGGTCAAGTTCGATGATGGGTCATCTCGAGTCAAAAAACTAGGTCACAGGAGCTAAAAATAGAAAAAAGCTTGTTAACACTCTAGTGCTGCAGTTTTCATCCCAAATATTCTGGAAATTTGTCAGGAAGGTTGTTTTGATGATATCAGTGTCAAGTTTGAAGATGGGTCATCTCGGTCAAAAACTAGGTCACAGGAGCTAAAAATAGAAAAAGCTTGTTAACACTCTAGAGGCTGCAGTTTTTTCATCCAAATATTCTGGAAATTTGTCAGGAAGGTTGTTTTGATGATATATAGGTCAAGTTCGAAGATGGGTCATTTCCGGTCAAAAACTAGGTCACAGGAGCTAAAAATAGAAAAAGCTTGTATAACACTCTAACAATTGGGTTGTTAACAGTCTAGCAGTCACAGTTTTTGATTGGATCATCATCAAACTTTGTCAGAATGTTTGTCTCAATGAAATACAGATCGAGTTCGAAGATGGGTTATCTCGGGTCAAAAACAAACGTCAAAGGAGCTAAAAATAGAAAAAGCTTGTTTAACACTCTAGTGGCTGCAGTTTTCATCCAAATATTCTGGAAATTTGTCAGGAAGGTTGTTTTGATGATATTTAGGTCAAGTTCGAAGATTGGGTCATCTCGGGTCAAAAACTAGGTCACAGGAGCTAAAATAGAAAAAGCTTGGTTAACACTCTAGTGGCTGCAGTTTTTCATCCAAATATTCTGGAAATTTGTCAGGAGGTTGTTTTGACGATATCTAGGTCAAGTTCGAAGATGGGTCATGTCCGGTCAAAAACTTTAGGTCACAGGAGCTAAAATTAGAAAAAGCCTGTTAACACTCTGGTGCTGCAGTTTTTTCAAATCCAAATATTCTGGAAATTTGTCAGAAAAGTTGTTTTGATGATTTCTAATCAAGTTCGAAGATGGGTCATCTTCGGTCAAAAAACTAGGTCACAGGAGCTAAAAATAGAAAAAGCTTGTTAACACTCTAGTGGCTGCAGTTTTCATCCAAACATTCTGGAAAATTTGTCAGGAAGGTTGTTTTGATGATTTTTTGGGTCAAGTGCTAAGATTGGTCAATGTCCGGTCAAAAATAGGTCACAGGAGCTAAAATAGAAAAATATTTTTAACACTCTAGTGGCTGCAGTTTTGATCCAAATTTCCATGGAAATTGGTCAAGAAGGTTGTTTTTGATGATTTCTAGGTCAAGTTTGAATATGGGTCGTGTCCGGTCAAAAATAAGGTCACATTGCCCAAATATGGAAAAATCTTTATAACACACTAGAGGTCACATGTTTGACTCATTGTCATCAAACTTGGCCATGATGCTTGTTTAAGACATTGCTTGGATGCGGTTGTGTCAGGTGAGCGATCCAGGGCCATCATGGCCCTCTTGTTTATTATGTTTAACATGGCTCTTGTTTTGATTTTGATTTTGTGATTCCAGTCTATTGCTTATGTTAAACTTAAGAAATGATTCAGAATGCAATTGTACACCGATTTCGGATATATCACAATTTCGAGTGACTCGAGGATATAATTCTGTTGAAAGATTGTATAACTGACCAATTATAATTGTTACCTAACATCTGAACATCACCCCGATCCTTAGGTTGATTCCAGGAAAAATGTGTAAATTAGATTTTACCTTTATGCTGTCTTAACACTTCAGTGCCTTGTGTTTTGTTTTCACCATTTAAAAAGGAAATGTTAAGATTTTGTTAAAAACATTTTCTTTGTTTGCCTTTAGTGAAAGTAAAAAGTCGAGCGTTACCCCGCCCGCGGTTGGCTCTTGTTGGTATTAGACACCATTGGTGTTATATCAATATCATCATCTGCATGCTACTTTCAAACTTAAGTTCTGGTTTGAGAATGATATCAGATCAAACAAAACTCGAGTTACATTTTTTAAAACATAATCTTTACCAAACACAAGACAAGCATGTT